AATGACACCTTTGTTTTTAAGCCCTGGATTTCTAATCCTCTGATATTATTATTGGATCTTTGGATTGGATTTTAATAGCTAACATCTCGATGGCCACAATAAATAAATATGCCGATAGTGGACAACCTTGTTTCACTCCTCTTGACAGTTTAAAACTTTCTGAGAAATAGCCATTATTTACTTTTTACACCTAGGGTTACTATACATGATTTTGACCCATTTTATAAGAGATTCTCCAAAATTGAAATGCTCCAGGCATTTATATATAAACCCCAGTCGAACTTTATCAAATGCCTTTTCGAAGTCTGCTATGAATAGCAGGCCTGGTTTCCCATATTTTCCATAGTGTTCTATTGTTTCCAATACTTGCCTTATATTATCTCCAATGTATCTTCCATGTAAAAAACCTGTCTGATTAGAATGAATAATATCCAACAATACCTTTTTAATTCTATGCGCTATACATTTTGCTAGGATTTTTGCATCACAACACTGAAGTGTAAGGGGCCTCCGATTTTGTAAATGGACTGGATCTTTATATTCTCCACTTGTATCCTGTTTCAGTAATAATGAGATCAGACCTTCTTCTTGAGTGTCAGATAATCTAGCATTTACATAGGAGTGGTTAAAACATGCTAATAATGGTCCTCTTAGTATATCAAAAAAGGTTTGATATACATCGACTGGTATGCCATCCAACCCTGGAGTTTTCCCGGACTTAAAGTCTTTAATTGCATCCAGAAGTTCCTCCTCTGTAATTTCACCTTCACATGAGTCTTTCTGTGTGGCTGTTAATTTAACATTATCAATAGAAAAAAAATCTGAACTGAAAAGAAAACATATGCTTAAAGTACTTTGTTTCTTCCTTCAAAATATCATTTGGTGAATTATGGGTGACTCCGTCAATTGTAACGAGTTTCATTAAGTTATTTTTGGTAGCATTCCTATGTTGAAGATTAAAAAAGAATTTTGTGCATTTTTCCCCATATTCCATCCAGTTTGCTTTATTTTTATAATATATTACACTTGATCTTTCTTGAATAAGTTTCTCCATTTCTTTTTGTTTTTCCTCTAATTTATTCTGAGCCTCTATGTTACAGTTTTTATTGCCATCTATCTGTTCTGTTAGACATTCTATTTCCTTTCTTAGTATAAACTCTTTTGACCTAAATTGCTTTTGTTTTCGAGATGAGTACTGAATTGCATCGCCTCTAAAGGCACATTTAAAGGTGTCCCATACAATAAGGGGATTCGCTGTACCTATGTTATGTTGGAAAAAGTCAGTTATAAATTCCTTTGTTCTAATTATAAATAAATTATCATCCAATAGGCTTTGATTAAATTTCCAATATCCTCGCCCACGTGGAAATTCAGTAAGAGTAATGTATATGCCTATTATATGATGGTCCGACCGCATTCTGTCCCCTATCAACACTTTTTTAAAACTTTTGGTGCCAACGAGAATGAGATAAGAAAGAAGTCAAGACGACTAGCTTGATTCAGTCTCCGCCATGTATATCTCACTAGATCAGTATATTTAAGCCTCCATATATCTACTAGTTCTAATGTATCCATGACATTCACTATTTCCTTAAGAGCAGATGTCTTTCTACGATGCGCACAGCCGACAACACCTTTACACGACCGTCTTCTCAAGAAAAGGGAAAACAGGGTTTCTTCGACATCACAATTTTTTGTTTTTCACGAAGGTATCTTTAGAAAGTGTTAAACGGAATGGGTCAATGAAAATGGTGGAGCTCATTGGTTGAAGGTTCTTGCATAGGAGTCATTTTGGTTATTTTTTACAAGAAAAGTATCACTACTTTATTAACTATACTACATATAAGAGTGGCTACAAGATCATCAGCAGACTCCATCACCATCATTTACCATCCTGTGACCAGTTATCTCCATTCAAGCCATGAACTGACACTCTCCATCTTCGGAGGATGCAGCTTTCAAATACTTGGCCTCTATTGGTTGACCTGTCATGATACTGTATATTGCTTGTTTGATTTTTGCTCTGAGATTCTATGAAAAGCGCTATAGAAATGCAATTTATTATTATTATTATTATTAATATTATATTAAATATTAATATTCAGACTTGACTATTGTGATACTATATCAGAGACGGTATAGAATCTCTGACTATACCTACCAGATGCAAATGTTTGGTTCCAGATGCGTTGACGTCACATTACTCTAGTTTTGTCCAGCCATTATCGATCTAATGGTTTACAGTGCCCTCTTCTGTTCAGATCTTACACTGCATCTTCACACAAAGGATACACAGCGAGTCATGCTGCAACCCTGGCTGCAACCAGTAGAAGTTGATTTAAAAGCTATTTCGTTACGTTTTAACAGTAACTATTCAACTGAAAACAGCATGGCTAGCCACACATTTATGTTAGCTCGCACAAAACGTGGTTTGGACATGTTTAACGTTGCTAGTCGCTTAAATGTATTTAGATGTATGTAGTTCTCTCCTTAAGATTCAGATTCAGTGTTTAATAGTCACATGTATAGGGTTGCAGGTGTGATTGCAGGGTACAGTGAAAATCTTGTAGGACTAAGTGAAATAAAATAATAGAAATTGTAAAAAACAACAAAAATATAAATATAAATAGCACTATATACATTTTACCTGTAGCAGTGATGAATAAATAAATGTCCATTGGGGTGGAAAAAGAGTAAAGAGAGTTTAGGGGGTGTGGGGGAATGACCACAGCGGGAGCAGCATGACCATTGAGGGGTTGTGGGGACCAAGCTGTTCTTGTCTATGTTCTGTATTAGCCTATGTAATGTTTTATGTTTTGTGTGTGGACCCCAGGAAGAGTAGCTGCTGCTTTAGCACTTGCCGCGTTCAAAACAACTCGGAAATCTCATCAGACGTCAGTGCGTTCAAGACAATTGGGAATTCGGGGAAAAAATTAGCTCCGACTGGGAAAAATCTTTTGAACGGTCATCCGTTTTGAACGGAAGTCATGATTTGACCTCGTTTTATTCAGAGTTCCCAGTTGTCATTAAAGCACCAACTGTGTCACCCCTTTGGCTGCTGAAATCTACAGTCGTGGTCAAAAGTTGAGATTTTTTATTTATTTTTACCTTGGCAAGTCAGTTAAGAACAAATTCTTATTTACAATGACGGCCTACACCGGCCAAACCCGGACGACGCTGAGCCAATTGTGCGCTGCCCTATGGGACTCCCAATCACAGTTATACAGCCTGGAATCGAACCAGGGGGTCTGTAGTGACGCCTCAAGCACTGAGATGCAGTGCCTTAGACCGCTGCGCCACTCGGGAGTCCAATACAAATACAAATGTTTACAAAGTCTGCTGCCTAAGTTCTGATGATGGAAATTTGCATATACTCCAGAATGTCATGAAGAGTGATCAGATGAATTGCAATTAATTACAAAGTCCCTCTTTGCCATGCAAATGAACTTAATCCCAAAAAAACATTTCCACTGCATTTCAGCCCTGCCACAAAAGGACCAGCTGACATCATGTCAGTGATTCTTTCGTTAACACATGTGAGAGTGTTGACGAGGACAAGGCTGGAGAAAGTCCAGCAAGCGCCAGGACCGTCTCCTAAAGTTGATTCAGCTGCGGGATCGGGGCACCACCAGTGCAGAGCTTGCTCAGGAATGGCAGCAGGCAGGTATGAGTGCATCTGCACGCACAGTGAGGCGAATACTTTTGGAGGATGGCCTGGTGTCAAGAAGGGCAGCGAGGAAGCCACTTCTCTCCAGGAAAAACAACAGGGACAGACTGATATTCTGCAAAAGGTACAGGGATTGGACTGCTGAGGACTGGGGTAAAGTCATTTTCTCTGATGAATCCCCTTTCCGATTGTTTGGGGCATCCGGAAAACACCTTGTCCGGAGAAGACAAGGTGAGCGCTACCAACAGTCCTGTGTCATGCCAACAGTAAAGCATCCTGAGACCATTCATGTGTGGGGTTGCGTCTCAGCCAAGGGAGAGGGCTCACTCACAATTTTGCCTAAGAACACAGCCATGAATAAAGAATGGTACCAACACATCCTCCGAGAGCAACTTCTCCCAACCATCCAAGAACAGTTTGGTGACGACCAATGCCTTTTCCAGCATGATGGAGCACCTTGCCAAGGCAAAAGTGATAACTAAGTGGCTCGGGGAACAAAACATCGACATTTTGGGTCCATGGCCAGGAAACTCCCCAGACCTTAATCCCATTGAGAACTTGTGGTCAATCCTCAAGACAAAGAAAACCCCACAAATTCTGACAAACTCCAAACATTGATTATGCAAGAATGGGCTGCCATCAGTCAGGATGTGGCCCAGAAATGAATTGACAGCATGCCAGGGCGGATTGCAGAGGTCTTGAAAAAGAAGGGTCAACACTGCAAATATTGACTCTTTGCATAAACTTAATGTAATTGTCAATAAAAGCCTTTGACACTTATGGAATGCTTGTAAGTATACTTCAGTATACCATAGTAACATCTGACAAAAATATCTCATAACACTGAAGCAGCGAACTTTGTGAAGACCAATACTTGTGTCATTCTCAAAACTTTTGACCACGACTGTACGCCCATGCACTGTGATGTATAACACCGCCCACCAGGCGAAATGGCTTGAAAAGAGTGTCTCCCAAACCCACACATGCTGCATTCAGATACTAGTCGGAACTAGGAAACTCTGAAATGTTCGACTTGCTAACTGGATGTAGTTATAGACACGTGCCGCGTTCAACGAACCAGCAAGTCGGTAATGTCAGCGTTTCCTAGTTCCGACTAGTGTATGAACGCGGCAACACTGGCATCGTTTGTCCCATTCCGCTTGCCGTTACTTAATACTCTGTCGCTCATTTTGCTCCACGTCGGCTGCACATGCGCACTACACTGGTCACCTGCAAGAAGAGACGAGTGACCAGGAATAATACACAATATTGGATGCAGGAATTACATTAAAATAAAATACATTTCGCTTGGAAGCAACATCGGGGTGAAAAGATGTTCAAGAAACTAAAGCAAAAGATAAACGAGGAGCAATCGCCGCAAAGGAATGCGCAGTCACCCCAACAGGCCCAGGTTGGTTTACCAGTTGTCAAGCTCAGCTGTTCGAACTAACATGTCATGGTAGCTAGTAGGGCAGAACTATTTCGGTTTTGATTTGCGTAGCTAGCTAGCTAGATAACTAGCGCGCTACCTAGTTTGATACCTTAATGTTTTCGGTCAAACACAACAACCGTAGCCACATTCAAATGTCTAGTATCTTCCACTATTCTGCAAAACGACTAATTTGCTAGCATCTCAGAACCTCAGAGTCTGGAGATTCCCTAAAAACACGCCCCTTCGATATAACTACAACCGGAAGTGACCTTTTTAGTTGCAGGTTAGGAGAACGCCTAATTCTCCTAACCTGCTGCGTTCAAAACAACTGTGTACTCCAGAACTCGGAAATCTCCGACTTCAGTGTGTTCAAGATAACTGGGAGCTCCGACTGGGAAAAATCGTTTTGAATGGTCATCCAACTTGGAATTCCAACTCGGAAACTCTGGCATCTTTCTAGATCTCCGACTTTCCTACCTGAAAATCACTGACGTCATGATTTTCTGAGTTCCCAGTTGTCTTGAAAGCGCCATATGTTCTCCTAACCACTGAGGTAAAGTAAGAACTCCTAACCTGCTACGAAACGTTGAAAGCCAGTGATATTGTTTTATTGTTTGGCGCGAGGTCCTGTGGAGGTGTTTGAGCAACACTGGGCTGGACAGGAGCAGAGATGGATGGAAAGGTAGCTAGGGGGGTTAGGAGTTGAGGAGGATGGGAAGGAGTGGAGTGGGAAAAGGTGGAGGTAAAGTAGTGAGACTAAAGGTTAAGAAGAAGAGGAAGCCTGAGGAGCCTTTGCAGGTCTTGTCGGAGGAAAGTAGTGATGAGGGAGGTTAGGTTTTCATTGTTGTACTAAGAGAAGTGGAGTTCAAGGTGCTGGTGAAATTTAAGGATGAGGGTGGAGTCACGGGTATATGAGTTACTATGTGCGAGCTTATGTTCCGAAACATTGCGTTGCAATAACTGTCAAAGGTTTGGGCATGTGATGGCGGTGTGTAAAGGCAAAAGAAGATGTGTGAAGTGTGGGGAGAACATGCATATGGGGAATGTGAAGACGGGGTCCGGTTAAAGTGCTGTAACTACTATCAACCCATAGTGTGGCATATGGGGGTTGTGCAGTAATGAAAAGACAGGTGTAAATGTAGCAGGCGCGGAGTGAGCGTAAAATCTCGTATGCAGAAGCAGTGAAGGTAGTTCACACAGAAACAAGCGGGGCACCTAGAAGAGCAGGTATTCCATGGCAGATTGAGATGCAGGTTGGGAGTGATGTAGGGAGCAGAGTGGAGGAGAACACAAGACTGGTAGGAGACATGAGGAAGGTTGTTACATTTGTAACAGCAGCAATCAATTGCACAGAAAAATTACAATCTAAGACTAAGAAGATTCCGATCATAGTGGAGCAGGCAGTGAAGTATCTTTGGATCACAGGACTGACATGGGAAAATGTACAGGATGACCTCAATAAGATTGAGAATCAATCCAGCCAGGAATCATGTATTGGTTAATTTTCATAATGGTGTTAATCCTTCAATGCAATGCCAGAAGTTTGATGGCTAATGGGCAATAGTTCAAACAGTTTCTTGAAGAGTTACCAGCCAAACCTGATGTGACATGGCTTAAACCTACTCTAGATTTTGTAATACAAGGTTATGTTGCAGTCTGTAGAGGTAGGGGTGGCAGGGGCAGGATGTGCTACCTTTATAAAGCGGGGGATCCCATATAGGTGTGTGGGAGAGGGAGTGGAACAGGAATATGTAGTGGTAGAAGTGTGGTTGGGAGGGGGGAATATGGTCATAGTGAACTTTTACAACCCGTGTAAGACACTAGAGTTGATGGCCCTTGAATGTAGAAGGTCGAGATGGGTAATGTGGTGTGGGGATTTTAATGCTCATAGTGCGCTCTGGGGAGGGTTACGTACTGATGTAAATGGACAAGTGTTGGAGGAACTACCTGATGAGAAAGGGCTTTGTGAGTCTTAATGAAGGCCGGGGAACCAGGATTGACCCAGTAATGGGAAATGAATCTGCTATGGATCTTACTCTGAACTCAAGTTCAATGGCAGGCAGATGGTAGAGCATGGCGCTTGCAACGCCAGGGTTGTGGGTTCGTTTCCCACAGGGGGCCAGTATGAAAATGTATGCACTCACTAACTGTGTATGTTGCTCTGGATAAGAGCGTCTGCTAAATGACTAAAATTAAAATGAAATGTAGTTGGGAGGTTGTGGAGGACTCTACAGGGGGTAGTGATCACTATCCTATCATGTGTACTGTAGGAATGAGGGTGGAAGATTCAGTAGGAAATGGATTGAGGAGATGGATATTTGCAAAAGCAGAGTGTGGTCAGTTTCAGGAGTTGGGTGAACAGGAGCTGTCTGAGGTTAATCTAAATTCAGGTAAAGAAACAGTCAATGATGGAGTAAGAGGAGCAATAGCAGGGGCCTGCAAGGCATGTGATTCCTATGGGTACAGGGAGGAGAAGGAGCAAGGCATGTGATTCCTATGGGTACAGGGAGGAGAAGGAGCAAGGCATGTGATTCCTATGGGTACAGGGAGGAGAAGGAGCAAGGCAGGTGATTCCTATGGGTACAGGGAGGAGAAGGAGCAAGGCAGGTGATTCCTATGGGTACAGGGAGGAGAAGGAGCAAGACAGGTGATTCCTATGGGTACAGGGAGGAGAAGGAGCAAGGCAGGTGATTCCTATGGGTACAGGGAGGAGAAGGAGCAAGGCAGGTGATTCCTATGGGTACAGGGAGGAGAAGGAGCAAGGCAGGTGATTCCTATGGGTACAGGGAGGAGAAGGAGCAAGGCAGGTGATTCCTATGGGTACAGGGAGGAGAAGGAGCAAGGCATGTGATTCCTATGGGTACAGGGAGGAGAAGGAGCAAGGCATGTGATTCCTATGGGTACAGGGAGGAGAAGGAGCAAGGCAGGTGATTCCTATGGGTACAGGGAGGAGAAGGAGCAAGGCAGGTGATTCCTATGGGTACAGGGAGGAGAAGGAGCAAGGCAGGTGATTCCTATGGGTACAGGGAGGAGAAGGAGCAAGGCAGGTGATTCCTATGGGTACAGGGAGGAGAAGAAGCAAGGCAGGTGATTCCTATGGGTACAGGGAGGAGAAGGAGCAAGGCAGGTGATTCCTATGGGTACAGGGAGGAGAAGGAGCAAGGCAGGTGATTCCTATGGGTACAGGGAGGAGAAGGAGCAAGGCAGGTGATTCCTATGGGTACAGGGAGGAGAAGGAGCAAGGCAGGTGATTCATATGGGTACAGGGAGGAGAAGGAGCAAGGCAGGTGATTCCTATGGGTACAGAGGGGAGAAAGAGTGACGCAGCTCCCTGGTGGACTGAAGAGTGTAGAAAAGCAGTGAAGAGTAGGAACAGGACTTTCAGAAAGTTGAAAAGGTCCCATAATTACCAACACCTGATTCAGTATAAACAAGCACAAGCAGTAGTAAGGAGGATCATTAGGACAGCTAAGAGACAGGACCACTCCTGTGGGAGAGATATTGGGGATGATTAAGAAGATGAATAGGGTCAGATGAGATTGGGATCTCCCTGTGCTGCAAAGTAAGGAGATTGTTGCAGTGAGAGATATGGAGACGGCAGAGATGTTAGCCCAGGCATTTGTGAAGGTGCACAGCTCAAATAATCTGACAGAAGAGGGGCGGCGTGGGAGAGTTGGTCAGAGGAGAACATCCGGGGGTCCTGGATTAGAGAGAGATGGTAGGGGATGCATTGAATGCCCCTGAGATGAAGAGAGCATTAGCTAAAGCTGGGGTAGCTGATGGCTCATCTCAGTGACACTGCAAAGGGGAAAGTATTGGGCCTTTACAATAAGGTGAGGCAGGAAGGGAAACTTCCTGGAAGTTGGAAGCAGGCTGTAGTGGTGCCGATACAGAAACCTGGGAAAGACCCTACTAGTCCTTCAAGCTATAGGCCGATAGCGTTGACATCTCATGTATGTAAATTTATGGAAAGGATGATAACGGAAAGGCTGACTTACTTTCTGGAGTGTAGAGGACTAATGTCACCAGATCAAAGTGGGTTCAGGAAAGGCAGGGGAACGATGGATCCTGTACTGTGCCTTGAGTCAGTCATACGAAAGGCACAGGCAAATAAGGAGGTGGTGGTAGCTGTTTTCTTCGATGTAGAGAAGGCCTATGATGTGGAAGGAAGGCCTACTTATCAAGCTGGATGTCATGGGGGTTGGAGGAAGGGTTTTTAATTGGATAAAGGACTTTCTTTTTGGGTGATCAATACAAGTGAGGGTGGGGAGCTCTGTCAGAAAGCTATGCGGTAGATAATGGTACCCCCCAGGGAAGTGTAATTAGTCCTTTGTTGTTATCCATTATGATTGACAATGTATTCTCCCAGGTGAGACCTGATATTGGGAGGTCATTGTTTGCGGATGACAGGGCACTGTGGAAGAGAGGGAGAAATATTACCCATACAGCCAGGAGAGTTCAAGAAGCGATCAGTGAAGTTGAGCAGTGGTCCCTCAGGTGGGGCTTCAAGTTTTCTATGAGGAAGGTTGGGGAGGATATGTACTTGAAGTTGTATGGAAGGAATCTGGAGAGGGTGGGAGTGTTTAGGTTTCTGAGGGTCTGGTTTGACACTCAAATGACATGGGCAGAGGATATTAACAGAGTAGTTGTCAAAGGAAAGAAAATATTGAATGTGATGCGTTGCCTGTCAGGAATGGACTGGGGGGCTGATAGAATGGCGTTAAATGCTATATATAGCGCTGTTAAGGTAATCAATGGATTATGGAAGTGTAGCATATGGATCAGCGGCTCAGACATCTTTAAAAAAACTAGATGTAATCCAGGCCCAAGCCCTAAGAATATGTTGTGGAGCACTCAGGACCTCCGCGGTGGCAGCAACACAGGTAGAGTTGGGAGAATTGCCGTTAAAGTTAAGAAGACAACAGCTAACCATGATATATTGGGTAAATCTTCAAGGACATAAGGTTACACATCCTACAAAAAAGGTGCTCCTTGAGTGCTGGGAACATGAACAAAATCTGAATACAAGTTTTGGGTGGATAGGCAATGGCATGGCCAGAGAGATGGGGTTGTTGGGAGGGAGTTTAGCCCCTCGGTGGTTCTTCCTGCTATCCCACCTTGGTTGCTCCCTCAGCCAGTGATAGATCTAGGGTTGCTTGAGAGGGTAAGAGCTGTTGAGGAAGGAGTAGATTCAACACAATACTATGTTTTCTTGAATATATTCACATATGGATCTAAGGACCCTAAAACAGCTTTTAGTGTTCCTGAGTTTAAGGTGGCAGTGACAAAAAGAGCAACGGATCATTTATCTGTTTACACAATGGAGTTGATGTCCATACTCTTGGCTGCAGAGTGGGTGGAGGAGATGAGGCCAGACAGGGTAGTCACCTGCTCTGACTCTTGTGCAGCACCAATGACCTTAAATTAATTTGTGTCTCGGAGCAGACAGGATGTATTGAATGAGGTTTTGCAGTGCTTGTATAGGGTGAGACAGATGGGGGTATTTGTGATGTTCCTCGTGGTACCAGCTCATGTGGGAGTAGAGGGGATTGAGGTGGATGTTATCGCCAATTAGGCTCTTAAACATCCTAATGTTGAGATGGAATTGTCAATCAGTAAAGCATAAGCCAAGGGGTTGATAAAAACAGTGGTTAAAAACAAATGGCAAGAGTTGTGGGAAAGGGAAGACACCTGTATAAGATTCAGGAAAAGGTGGGGGCAGGGAGGTCCTCAGGCCGAGAGGTCCTCAGGCCGAGAGAAGGGAGGAAAGTGTAATCACAAGGCTGATACTGGGACACACAAGGCTCCATAGTACATTGAAATTGGTGAGGAAACATTGATGGTATGATCATTGTCAGGAGTAGATGGAAACAGTGGAACACGTTCTATTTCAGTGCCAGAAATATGGGAGGGATAGGGAGCGATTGTTATTAGATTTGAGGAGTAATGGGGTTGAAGAACCAAGATTTTAAGTGAACTGCTGGGGTAATCTTCAAGGGATGTAGTATTTAATTATGTATTTTGTTTCCTTAGGGAGATGAAAATATTGGGTAGGATTTAGACCTTCTCTGTCTCTAGTCCACACTCCAGTTCAGTTGGTGGCAGTAATGCACCATAAAGTTGGTTGCCAACTGCTATAAAATATCCACAAAAGTCACTTCCGGTCGTAGATGTATTGTGTTTTTAGGGAGTCACATCTGAGCAGCTCCGAACCAAAGTCTAGCTAGCTAGCTTGGCTAATCTATATGTGACATGTTAAAAACACAATAACAGAACAATAGTTATTGTTTTGTGTACATTTAATCAAATCAATTGTAGCTGTCTGTGGAACTATTTAAATGTTCTCCAGCCAGATCATCTTTAAATAATTGATTGAGTGGACTTGTTAATACTGTAGCTACAGTTCCTTGTAGCTGTCTAGCCAGTCAGCTGGTGGCTTCATTTGGACAGCTCCATGCATGTCACTCCTACTGGATAATCATTGAATTTTAACCCATGATATCTGTGGATCTCAAGGTAATGTGTTTCCATAGTCTGTGTCTATAAAACCTGTCTGTCAAGCTGGCAATGTTTACAGAAAATAGTAGCCTATTGTTTAGTAAGGGTAGCTTGGTCTGTTAGTGAGTCAACACTAGAATCTTACCTAAAGATAGCCAAGTAAACAACAATATTATCTAGCTTTAACAGATGCCTTTTTCTTATGTGTAGTGTGAAATCCTTACTCTGTGGGCTTGAACATGTTGGACAAACGTGTTGTTTATATCATGATAAATATCAATAATTTTCCCTAAGATTGGCCCTGGAGAGAGACGTAGCAGCCACACCCTCCCCTCCCTGCACCAAGATGCCTCAGCCTCCCCTAGTGATAGAGAGGTAAGACATGAGTGTCATCCAATGATGTATGTAATATCATCTGACCTACACTACAGTCTTCTGTTGATATGCTTTGGCTCTACACTGCAACAGCAGCTTGCACAGCCAGGAGAAATAGGCCTACAGAATGCACTGCCACCTTAGGATCACTTTCTTGTAAGGATTGCTTGCAATAATGTTATATTAGTCCTAGATCTTACTCTTAGGGCTAGTTTCCCGGAAACATATTAAGCCTAGTCCTACCTGAACTACGAAAGACTTTCAATGGAGATTGTAGAAACTATGATTTATCTGTGTTCAGGAAACTGGCCCTTACTGTTCATCATTAGACATAGGCCTAGTAGATCAGTGATATGATGTGTAGGTCCCAAAGCCCTGGTTTACTTCTGTTCCTCTATCACCTCTTGGATCGATGACTAAGGCCAGGGCTCTTCAACTCTGGTCCTGGAGGGCCGAAAAACGTTTGGTTTTCAGGGACTGATTCAGACCTCGGACACCAGGGTCTTCATTTATCAAAATTGCGTGTATACTATTCTAAAATACTACTTACGAACGGAATGTAGAATGTTCGTACGAATAGAAAAGGTGTGATTTATCAAACAGTTCTACGAGCCTCATACACACACCGGTAGGAGATAACTGTCGTGGAAATTCTAACCAAAAGGAAGATTGACTGTAGATTCTTCAAACAACTTTATTATAAGATTTGCAAAAATTGAGCAGTTAGCAATCACTCAATGGTGCAGAGTTAAGGACCCAACGAACAGAGTTGGGTCTCAGCTTTTATAGAAAAGTACAACTTTCTTTGTTTACGTGGCAGTTAGCAGATGTGTGGAAACAGTGGCGGGGAACATAGTGTAAAAGGTGATTAGCTTTGCTGTGCAGACTAAGATATCTGACGTTGCCACAGCTCACACCATTGTCTGTTCCTTCCTACACATTTACACACAGCTGAGTTCCTGCAGATAGTAAAACTTGGGATGTGTCACATGCTGCGGTCGCTCCCAAACGTCTCTTAGCTATACGCCCAGTCTTATGACTAAGTCACACAAAGACAAGTTTGTATCAGTAAACAAACACAAACTAATAACAATAGACAATTCTTTAAGTAAAAAAACAGCATAACATGTCTAATTTGTAATTTCCCCCCACATAACCATTGATAAATACCAATTGTTCTCAGTGCTCATGCACAACCTTGGCTATTTGCATTTCTATATATGGTCAAAATCATCCCTTTAAAGCCAGTGGGGAATATACAACACCATACTATGGAATATAACGTCGTAACCAAAAAAAGCTATGATAAAATAACGTTTCCGAGATTAGATAGAGGTGCTAGTGTCAGAGATTGAGTACAACGAAAGGTTTTATTTGACTCGCTCAGTTGTGGCTTGACCAGTAAAAATAAAAACATAGCTATAAAGAGAAGACCATTAAGACAATTAGTTGCTTTAGCAATGACAAATATACTTCAAATGAGTAGGCAACACTCACCAATAAGCCATCCGTCCTCAACAGCTCCCTCATGTAGGCGTATAGGCCAACATTGCTGTTCTGCAGAATGAAAGGGTTGTGTGTACCACCACGTTCAGCAACGTCTTTTGCACATCACATAACCTATCACCTGCACATTAAGAGTGGAAGCCTTTTCTGTTCACATAGTTGAACTCGTATTGGGATGGTGCTTTTATGGCGATGTTTGTGCCGTCTGTTGCACCGTTCGTATTTGGGAACCCATTGATTGCAAAGAAACCCATCTTGACTTCAACCTGTTGTGCGATGCTGTATGGAAATTGTATGTTTGTTTTGCTGCTGATTTGCATCCAAAACATTGGCTCATCGAGGGCTGTGAGATGCCGATCAAGCAAGCTCCCGCTGAAAAGTGGCCGTTGCCAAAAACCCGAGGGTGGATAGCACTTGGATGTGCACCGGAATAGCATGCGTTTGCCTTTTTAAAGTAGGTCTTAAATCCTCGCATAAATCTTATAAGATTGGTTTTGGGAAACAATATCTGATGAGCCAATCTGTACTTTCTGCAAAAAAAAAGTCCCACTTGTCTCTAAAACACGTTCTCTGCTAAATGCAGCGTGTGACAAATCTCCCAACAGAGCAAGATCAGCCTAATTCGATTTCCCATTATCTAATTATTTTATAGTATTTCAACAATGGTTTCACTTTCACACGTGCCTCTAATTGAACAAATGACAGTACTTAAATTGATTATTATCGTAACAACTGCACTGAAGTGGTCAAATTATATGCCTGTCAAGATATGAATGAATTCACAATGGAAATACAATGAAACAGAGAATTATTGAATTATTACTCTCACAATTTCAGACATTTTCAACATATATTTTCCCCATTCTACGCTTGACAAGCAGCAGTTCCCTTATTCCACCACTTGGCATGGATGTGTGGACATTTACACACACTCGCAAGCAAATGTTCATATTGATAAATCTCACACTTTCTGTGGAAATTATCCCACAAATGGTTTACGCACAGATTTGTGCCATTGCGTGATTGATAAATGAGGCCCCAGGTGAGTGCAGTTAACTACCAGAATTGTTTCGGCCCTCCAGGACTTGGACCCTGACTTGGGCCTATGTCTGCAGTGCTTCCAGAGGACTACGCCCCCATGCTCTGCTGCATCATGATAAAACTGCCCTAATGCATTTCCAAGGGTTTAAAGTTTCTGTAGCCTCACCCAAAAGATAAGCTGTTCAACAAGTATCATCCCTTAAGTCTCAGCCCTGCATCGATTTAAAGCTGGTTAAAACAAACCATGACGGACATGGATGGAGGCAATGTAGCCTAGTTAGAGGAAATTGTGGACTAAGTAGTCAGACAATTCAGGGCCCCAGGGGTTCAGTTAAGGACCTGCTTAATTTCAATCACTTATTAGGCCTGAACTACGTTTTTATACAATAAATTACCAAATGAATAGGGTTAAGAAACATTTGCACTATTGAAAAGTAGCTAAACCTTTTTGACTGTCTTCAACAAGTCCTAGCCAATTGTTTGGTTGTTTTATTGTTCAGGTCTAGGATAGTACTTCAATTAATTCCATGGGTGAACCACAATGTGTCGGCATGCCGAGTTTTTTTCGAAAGACCTCTGCCTTTGGAATGTAGCCTAAACAAGTGAAGTGACGTGTTCTCAGACTGTTCTGAGGAAGTAGCCTCGGCCAATATGCAGCAGTTCGGCTTCTACAATCAATAATCGTCTGAAGACTGCTGGTGGAACTCTGATCAATTGAGACAGACTTTTGACTTTAGTTAAGGTGTAGTTGGATGGATCTCGATGAATGGCAATATATACAACAACATTTTAATATTAGGACTTTGACTTAAAATCACAGCGTTTTGTACAGTAAATCCAATTAGGCATATCCACATCTTCAAATAAAAAAATACACATGATCATAGGCTAACCATCTTTATTTTCAACACATCCATTTCAAAATCCATCGTAAGAAATAAGCTACCTCAGCAAATAATTGATTGGTTCTGCATTTTAAATCCAAGCCAAAGATATTCACCAACCAAATCCAGCCTGAGGTAGTGAATTGTAGCCCTCTCAGACAGCACCCGGCTTTATCATCTCCCCTGAAGGAAGGCCATCCCACTATATGGCTTCAGATAGCCTAGAGGCATCTTCTCCTCATCGTCTTCAAAGCATCTCTAGATCACCGTCAGCTCCAGCCTTTACTCCTTTGACTTCACTGTTTCTTTGCCCCACATAAATGTAGGCAAATTAGCCTCATGAAAATAATGTTTAGGTTAATGATGACTTGGACATCCTGATTTGACATTTAGGCCTACCTTTCTATCAATCTCATGAAAGGCAATTTCGCAATGGAGGACACAGATACTGGGATGTCAAATTCAGTAAATGCCATATAGTCCTAATGTTGATTGGGTGTTCTTTCCATCTTTTTATTTCTCTCCGTTTCTCTCTGACCAGTCTCTCACTCTCTCGCTCTGTGTTTTCCTCTCTCTTTGTCAGATTCTCTCACTTTCGTTTTCTCTCTCTGACCAGTGTCTCTCCAGAGAATCTGGGCAGACTACACTCTCCTCAGCACTGTTTCACTCACTCTCATGGTGTTGTTTTTCTCATTGCTCTCTGTCTCCCCCCCATCTGTCGTCCCGTTGACACACTGACCTTTGACCTGGGGTCAGGTGCTGGCCGGGATGATAGCCGAACCTGCTTTTCTCTCTGAGTATACTATCTTTGCTCTGGACCAATCAAAGCCACCCCCCAAAGCTCCTCAAGCTCAGGTTGCTCAGGTAGCCAGTGCGGTGAGTTCGGTTCGCCCCCCCCCTCACACCCACCCCTGCCGCCTCTTCTCCTCCTGCCCCCCTCGTTCTTCTTCCCTCGCTCCTGGGTAGAGGGTAGAGGAGCTGGCCTGCTGTTTAGAACCAGTGAAGACTGCTTGAACCCTGCTCTCTCTGTCTTTTTCTTCTCCTTATCCGTTTTCTTTGGTGTTCGTAACTTGAAGGCATCTCACCACCTCCTAACCTTGCATCTTATCCCTTGGGAGTGATTGTTGGTTTGTAAATGTGACTGTTGGGATAGAAGCTTGATGTGCTTTGTGCAGTATGCCGGTTTGTTATTATCCAATAGTCTCTCCTTCAGTTGTCTCGGCATTGACAGAAATTGATGTTATCCTGATTCTTTAGTTATCCTTTATAGTTGCTAGCCCCTGAAACCCTACCAACCTCCTGTATAGTTTACTATAGATTTCATTCCCTTCCTTGTTCCTGCTTCTCACCCCAAAAGTCTTCTGTTTTGTTTGTTTGGAGAGTTTATAGTCGTGCGATGTGCCTCCGGACCTTCTCTACTTAGCTTGCGTAGTTGAAGCTTTTCCTAGAGCCATGAAAGATTTTCATTTATTTTGTTTTATGCATATTTCCCCATCTAAATATAATTTATTAGTAGTGGTCAAACAAACAGCCCGTCCAACAATACAATACCCTTCTGATTGGTGTTGAGTGACACATTTATATTAAAGATAGGACACCAAAACAACCAAGCTGGTGTTAGAAGGAAGTAGAATAATACACTCCTCATTCCCATTCCTCCTCACCTCATCTATTGAAATACCATTGGAAAGTACCACACAATACATTGGTCGCAATCTCATGCTCTTAGAATAGACCAAGTTGTCCCCCCGAAACATTTAGCTAGCCAGCGGGGTTGGGGTTGACATTCCAGTTTATTTCCTGAATTGAAATGGAATTGACAGACTATGCTACAGGCTAGATTGCTGTTGAAAAACAGAGCAGGATGGGCTGGCTAGCCTGTCTGTCTGTCTGGAGGATTTGCAGATTATCTGCATTTAGAGATGTGCCTAATCCTTCTCTAGGCTGTCATCACACTCATCTAGAATTAACAAGTTATCGTTACTCATTGTGTATCTATTATTACTTTTATTATTACATGTTTTATTTTTCTATTACTCTGTTTTCTTTCTCTCTGCATTGTTGGGACGGGCCCGTAAGTAAGCATTTCACTGTTAGTCCACACCTGTTGTTTAAGAAACATGACTAATAACATGTTATTTTATATGTGGCCTCGTGCCTACACTGCTTTTACCATTGAACCATGTCATCTTTCATCAACATGTAAGCCATTTAGTAGACGCCTTTATCCAAAGCGTATGTATTGGTGGGCCCAGTGGGAATCGAACCCACTACCCTTGGCGTTGCAAGCGCCGTGCTCTACCAAATGAGCCACCCAGGACCATCTAACAAGATATCATCACCTGACTATAATGTAGTATTTGTTTAAATAAAGGTACTGACTCAGAGATATGTTACTGTTTTGAGCAATATTAAGTAGGAATCACTTCCTAATATTAGCCCATCAATGTAATCCGTTCGTGACTGTGTGTTGATACAAAACCTTTAACTTGAAAGTAAATGTTAAATGTGCCTTTATAAACACACAGCCTATTTGTTCCTCATAACGGCAAAGAGCTGTTCAGTTTAACCCAAAGGCATACTAACCTGTCCATGTTAGCCCTCTTGGAGACCTCTAGACTAGCAGCTATCCTGTTAGCCTGGTTTCTTACTGTGTTTGAGTGCAGAGACTGCAGACATGCTCTACTTCTGACCTTGAAACACAGTACCAGTGTAGCTCTGATTTCCACCGCCTGGGGTCTGGAAGCCAGGCTGGCATAGTTGTCTGTTGACACAGTGCCGTTAGTCATCTGTTGGCTTAGTATAACTGCAGAGGGGAAGCTACCACGTGTCCTGAATGGCAGGGACGCACCCTATTCCCTACATATGGAATATATAGTGCACTATATAGGGAACACAGCCTACATCCTTCTGTTTGGCTAGATATCCCTTTACATGCCCTGCCCCGACAGATTGTGTAGAACTACAGAGACTAAGCTACTGGTACATGTTGCTAGGCTTCTGGTTGCTGCTACGCTAGCCTGACTGACTGGCATGTCTGTTGACACAGCACCACCATACCAGTACTGTTGTCATCTGCTAGAGATATCCCTAACACACCTGCCCTGGCACATCCTGCTCCAGCACTACGCTGCTTATTCCTATCCAGGCCCCTCAGATCTGCCAACATTGATGGGTTAGGGCCAAGGGGAAAGAAGTAGGGAGCAAATTAGACAACCGTCACCCTGACAGACTGTAAAACCACAGAAAGACTGCATCCTGCGGTCTTCAGTCTTCCCATCCAGACTGTCAGTACGGTTAGTCATCATGCCTTGGCCAGTGGCCTGACAGACTGTGTACAACAACCAAAACTAGGCTGCTGGTCTGCTGGTTAATGATGCCACTGCCAGTTTTCACATCCAGTGACAGTACTGTTTTCCTCCCTCATGCCCTGTCTGCACACATGGCCTAACCTAAACAGCATCTTGGAATGACAGTTTTGGGTGTAGTTGTAGGCAGCCTTCACAGCCTGGGTTGTGGGGATGGGTTGTGTCTAGACATTAGTCCATGTATAATTCATTGATTGAGAGCCAGTCAGGCCTGTTTTCCACTACTCTGAACCTCACACTTAGCCACTCTGGGGCTCTTCCCTTTGTCTGCCTGTAAGGCAGGGTGAGGGGGCATTGGTTTGACCTACTCACACTCTCAGACCCAAAGGCAAGTGAAATGACTGGCCGTTGTAGTCAAAGCAGACCCTGCTGCTTTGTAGCCTCACAGCAAACCAGACACATTGTGAAACGTGTCCCTTCTCATCAGTGTCTCCAATCGCAACCTAAAAACTACCATAATACATTTGTATATAGGTTTTCATTTGTTGTACCATCATTTATTAATCTTTTTGATACTTTGCAATGGGTTTATAACTCTGTCTGTAATACGTATGTTTCATGTGTAAGTGTGCTCTCAACATTTCTTTGTAACTGGGACAGCTTATTGACTGGTATCTCTGGTCTGATTTAAAGATTACGCTTGTAGAAAACCCCTTGCTTTTCTTATCTAGTATCAATATCGGACATGGTACTCAAAGGAGGAGAGTGAACAGAAAGGAGAGGAGGAAATTGTTAACAGGTTAACTCAAACAAGCTTACAAGTAGGCCAACAACTGGGTCGTGTTCATTAGGTCACTCTGTAGCAAAATACTTAAAAACCTTTTTAAAACTGAAGATGAGGTTCTTGGACAATTCAGGCAGCCCCTCCCTCTTTCAGTCCATTTTCTTCTGTTTGGTGGCTGATGCACCCAACTCTGACCTTTCTATAACCAACCAGCCAGGCTACCCAGCTAACGTTCACAACAACACTACTACACCTGTCTCTACTACGTTCTAGTTAACCTACAATAACATCCTGCTGGAGTGACCCACAGCAATGCCGTTCGACCTCTTCAGCTACTGGCCCCTCTAATCAAGTTCGATTGTTTGTTTTGACCTCATGGCTGCTGTGTAGAAAAATGGCTACCAGTTGTAGTTTTTAATGGCTACCAGTTGTAGTTCTATTTTAACCACTATCTGTTCTGTTACTGTATGTTGTACAGTAGAGATGCCTTCTATCTTGTAATTTAACCCCTCTGTTTTCTCCAAGTTTGCATGAGGGTACCCAACTACAGTACCCATAAGCCCCTGCATTGCTCCTGTACTAGCAATACTAATATTCAGAGCCATGTATATCAGATGGCTCTGCTAATATTGCTTGATCCTATACAGAGTAATCAAGGCGTAGCGGTACAGTGCACGCTGGCTGGGTGTGGGACATATGGAAGACTAACAGGTCCAGGTGCCAGGGCTGCGTCTGAAATTGCACCCTATTCATGTAAAGTGCACTACTTTGACCGTGGCCCCTATATAGTGCACTACTTTTTCACCAGGGCCCATAGTCAAAAGTAGTGGTCAAAAGTAGTGCACTACAGTATATAGGGAATAGTGTGCCATTACAGACACAGCCCTGGTTAAACCCTGGCCTAGTTTGTTTTAACCTCTTTCACTCCTGCCTCCTGCTATAGAGTGGCAGGAGAAGTGCCACAGGATCACCTAGAGGAAGCATCAATGGAGATGGGAGGGCTTCTCCTCAGGCAAGTTGTTACTTCATCCTCCTAACACCTTTCTCTGGCTTTTCCGTTTCCATTAAAATACGGTTATTGATGTCCTGAAGAGGTAATAAAGCAACTAAGAATAAAAGTTAAGATGCTGGGCCTCCCGAGTGGTGCAGCGGTCTAAGGCTCTGCGTCGCAGTGTTGGCGGCGTCACTACAGCCTGGGGTTCGATCCCAGCCTGTATCATTACCGGCCGTGACCGGGAGTCCCATAGGGCGGCACGCAGTTGGCCCAGCGTCGTCCGGGTTAGGGGTGGGTTTGGCCGGTGGGGCTTTACTTGGCTCATCGCACTCTAGGGACTCCTTGTGGCGGGCCGGGCGCCTGCGGGCAGACTCGGCCATCAGTTGAACAGTGTTTCCTCCGACACATTGGTCAGCTGGCTTCCGGGTTAAGCAAGCGGGTGTTAAGAAGCACCGTTTGGCGGGTGATGTTTCAGAGGACGCATGACTCGACCTTCGCCTCTCCTGAGCCCGTTGGGGAGTTGCAGCGATGAGACAAGATCGTAATCACGAAATTGGGGAGAAAAAGGGGGTAATAATTACTAAAAATAAAATAAAAATCTCTTAAGATGCTATGCCAGTTAGGTCTAATCAGCTGCAGAGAGGAAGATACATTCTGATTTAACATGCAATTTGAATAAAGTCTAGGCCTAACAGTAGGAGTGGTTTTGTTGATTATCTTTAACCCATGCATGTGGAAACACTCATTCATATCCCACATGTCTCTAGCTAAGGCTAAATATGTACATTCCCATGCATTGTAGTTCAATAAAGTTGACTGCCATGTGGTAATGAATACTGTAAAGTAATACACTCTCCTGTCCGTCCTCATACAGAGAGAGGAGCCACAGTCGTTTGCCCAGAAGCTACAGCTGCGTGTCCCCTCTGTGGAGTCTCTCCTCCGCGGTGCCAGCCGGGCCGAGGGCCTCTTCCTTTCCCCGTCCAAAGAGAGCCTGAACCGCAGCCCCTCTCTTAACTCCCTCACCCCCCTGGGGGAGAATGAGCCCCTGGCCACCCCAGCCTATGACCCTCCGTCGGACATCGAGAGCGAGGCAGAGGAGTCATATGGTAGCCCTGAGTCCCTGTCGGCCCTGTCTAAAGAACAGCTGATCCATCGGCTACACAGGGTGGAGAAGAGCCTGGGGAACTACAGAGGGAAATACTCAGAGGTGGGGGTCGTGAGACAATAGAGCAGTGGTACCACATGGTACATCCTTTAGTGACGCTTGTGGAAATCAGTCTCAAAAGAAATCAGTGTAATCACTATATAATAACTAGGTAATTACCAGTTCAGCAAGTCATTTCTAACAGCTAAAACAGGGAGTTGGCCTGCTGTATGTCTACAATACACCTCTATGGGATGTACCAGTCACTATGATCAGTCTTCTCTTGCTCATCCAGTCAGTCTCAAATACAGATGACTAGAGTAGGGAGTTGGCCTGCAATGCATATATCTCTGTGTACAGCTATATTTGATTTACCTTTCTAACCATTCTCTCTCTCTCTTCCCCCCCACCCCAGTTGGTCACTACCTACAGAACAGTCCAGAGAGACAAGGAGAAAACCCAGGTGATTTTCATAAACCACCTCAACACCAGATTACATATAGTGATGCTCTGTACTTTCGGGAGGATAGAGGAACACTTCTATCCACACTCGCTGAATGCTGATGTAGTCTTTTCTGCTTTTCTCCTCAGGCCATTCTCAGTCAGAGTCAAGACAAAGCTCTCCGTAGGATTGGGGAGTTGAGAGAGGTATGACCATGAACACCATCTGTTTCTGATGAATACCGGTATATGTCTGTACTATGTTTGTCTAATTCTATCCCTATCAAAGTACTGTCTATGGGGTCTTATTTTACTCTGTTATGACCCATTACTCTCTCTCTCTCTGACATGAACTCAAAAGCTTTTAGGATACAAGCAACCACTGAGTCACAGCAGTAGAGGTGGAATTCCTGAATTCTTTATCTGTCCTGACCCCAAAAAACAGTAGCTGAGCCAAAGGAAGGTAGTCAAGAGCAGGAGGTTAGCTAAGACAAGGAAGGAGGAAGGAGCAGGAGGTTAGCTAAAACAAGGAAAGAGGAAGGAGCAGGAGGTTAGCTAAAACAAGGAAGGAGCAGGAGGTTAGCTAAAACAAGGAAAGAGAGGAAGGAGCAGGAGGTTAGCTAAGACAAGGAAAGAGAGGAAGGAGCAGGAGGTTAGCTAAGACAAGGAAAGAGGAAGGAGCAGGAGGTTACCTAAGACAAGGAAAGAGAGGAAGGAGCAGCATATTTTTGTTATCAGAACAAGATAAGGCATTGCATGTGACTTGTTTGAACTTGTGTGATGTGTTCAGGATGTAATTCACTGAGACTCTAACCTGCGTTTGTAGGAAAGAAACCTTTCCCTGGTTGAAATGGTGCAGTGTGCCCTACATGTAGGAAGTATAGAAAGACTTCTCTGGCTCTGAACCATGATAGTGTTTGATAAGGTGATCAGTGTGAGCAAGGCAATTCACAGAACTACTAATCTTGATCTCATAGGGAGTAGTTATTTGGGAAGTAAGGTGTTATTGTAGATGAGTCATTCTGAGTGGTCCGACTGCAGTTTAGTCGATCTCAAACACACTATGTTCCTCACCAGGAGCTGTACAGTCGTGGTCAAAAGTATTGGTCTTCACAAAGTTTGCTGCTTCAGTGTTTTTAGATATTTTTGTCAGATGTTACTATGGTATACTGAAGTATAATTACAAGCATTCCATAAGTGTCAAAGGCTTTTATTGACAATTACATTAAGTTTATGCAAAGAGTCAATATTTGCAGTGTTGACCCTTCTTTTTCAAGACCTCTGCAATACGCCCTGGCATGCTGTCAATTACAGTGAGGGAAAAAAGTATTTGATCCCCTGCTGATTTTGTACGTTTGCCCACTGACAAAGAAATGATCAGTCTATAATTTTAATGGTAGGTTTATTTGAACTGTGAGAGACAGAATAACGACAAAAAAATCAGACAAAATGCATGTAAAAAATGTTATAAATTGATTTGCATTTTAATGAAGGAAATAAGTATTTGACCCCTCTGCAAAACATGACTTAGTACTTGGTGGCAAAACCCTTGTTGGCAATCACAGAGGTCAAACATTTCTTGTAATTGGCCACCAGGTTTACACACATCTCAGGAGGGATTTTGTCCCACTCCTCTTTGCAGATCTTCTCCAAGTCATTAAGGTTTCGAGGCTGACGTTTGGCAACTCAAACCATCAGCTCCCTCCACAGATTTTCTATGGGATTAAGGTCTGGAGACTGGCTAGGCCACTCCAGGACCTTAATGTGCTTCTTCTTGAGCCACTCCTTTGTTGCCTTGGCCGTGTGTTTTGGGTCATTGTCATGCTGGAACACCCATCCACGACCCATTTTCAATGCCCTGGCTGAGGGAAGGAGGTTCTCACCCAAGATTTGACGGTACATGGCCCCGTCCATCGTCCCTTTGATGCGGTGAAGTTGTCCTGTCCCCTTAGCAGAAAAACATCCCCAAAGCATAATGTTTCCACCTCCATGTTTGACGGTGGGGATGGTGTTCTTGGGGTCATAGGCAGCATTCCTCCTCCTCCAAACACGGCGAGTTGAGTTGATGCCAAAGAGCTCCATTTTGGTCTCATCTGACCACAACACTTTCACCCAGTTCTCCTCTGAATTATTCAGATGTTCATTGCCAAACTTCAGACGGCCCTGTATATGTGCTTTCTTGAGCAGGGGGACCTTGCGGGCGCTGCAGGATTTCAATCCTTCACGGCATAGTGTGTTACCAATTGTTTTCTTGGTGACTATGGTCCCAGCTGCCTTGAGATTATTGACAAGATCCTCCCGTGTAGTTCTGGGCTGATTCCTCACCGTTCTCATGATCATTGTAACTCCACGAGGTGAGATCTTGCATGGAGCCCCAGGCCGAGGGAGATTGACAGTTATTTTGTGTTTCTTCCATTTGCGAATAATCACACAAACTGTTGTCACCTTCTCACCAAGCTGCTTGGCGATGGTCTTGTAGCCCATTCCAGCCTTGTGTAGGTCTACAATATTGTCCCTAACATCCTTGGAGAGCTCTTTGGTCTTGGCCATGGTGGAGAGTTTGGAATCTGATTGATTGATTGCTTCTGTGGACAGGTGTCTTTTATACAGGTAACAAACTGAGATTAGGAGCACTCCCTTTAAGAGTGTGCTCCTAATCTCAGCTCGTTACCTGTATAAAAGACAACTGGGAGCCAGAAATCTTTCTGATTGAGAGGGGGTCAAATACTTATTTTCCTGTTTTGTTGTTATTCCGTCTCTCACTGTTCAAATAAACCTACCATTAAAATTATAGACTGATCATTTCTTTGTCAGTGGGCAAACGTACAAAATCAGCAGGGGATCAAATACTTTTTTCCCTCACTGTAACTTCTGGGCCACTTCCTGACTGATGGCAGCCCATTCTTGCATAATCAATGCTTGGAGTTTGTCAGAATTTGTGGGTTTTTGTTTGTCCACCCGCCTCTTGAGGATTGACCACAAGTTCTCAATGGGATTAAGGTCTGGGGAGTTTCCTGGCCATGGACCCAAAATGTCGATGTTTTGTTCCCCGAGCCACTTAGTTATCTCTTTTGCCTTATGGCAAGGTGCTCCATCATGCTGGAAAAGGCATTGTTCGTCACCAAACTGTTCTTGGATGGTTGGGAGAAGTTGCTCTCGGATGATGTGTTGGTACCATTCTTTATTCATGGCTGTGTTCTTAGGCAAAATTGTGAGTGAGCCCACTCCCTTGGCTGAGAAGCAACTCCACACATGAATGGTCTCAGGATGCTTTACTGTTGGCATGACACAGGACTGATGGTAGCGCTCACCTTGTCTTCTCCGGACAAGCTTTTTTCCGGATGCCCCAAACAATCGGAAAGGGGATTCATCAGAGAAAATGACTTTACTCCAGTCCTCAGCAGTCCAATCCCTGTACCTTTTGCAGAATATCAGTCTGTCCCTGATGTTTTCCTGGAGAGAAGTGGCTTCCTCGCTGCCCTTCTTGACACCAGGCCATCCTCCAAAAGTCTTCGCCTCACTGTGCGTGGAGATGCACTCACACCTGCCTGCTGCCATTCCTGAGCAAGCTCTGCACTGGTGGTGCCCCGATCCCGCAGCTGAATCAACTTTAGGAGAAGGTCCTGGTGCTTGCTGGACTTTCTTGGGAGCCCTGAAGCCTTCTTCACAACAATTTAACCTCTCTCCTTGAAGTTCTTGATGATCTGATAAATGGTAGATTTAGGTGCAATCTTACTAGCAGCAATATCCTTGCCCTTTTTGTGCAAAGCAATGATGACGGCACGTGTTTCCGTGCAGGTAACCATGGTTAACAGAGGAAGAACAATGATTTCAAGCACCATGCTCCTTTTTAAAGCTTCCAGTCTGTTATTCTAACTCAATCAGCATGACAGAGTGATCTCCAGCCTTGTCCTCGTCAACACTCTCACTTGTGTTAACGAGAGAGTCACTGACATGATGTCAGCTGGTCCTTTTGTGGCAGGGCTGAAATGCAGTGGAAATGTTTTTTGGGATTAAGTTCATTTTCATGGCAATTAATTGCAATTCATCTGATCACTCTTCATAACATTCTGGAGTATTTGTAAATTGCCATCATAAAAACTGAGGCAGCAGACTTTGTGAAAATGTAATATTTGTGTCATTCTCAGAACTTTTGACCACGACTGTATGTATTAAGGCAATGTGTTATATGACAATGTTTCTCCCCAGGAGCTGCACATGGACCAGCAGGCTAAGAAGCACCTTCAGGAGGAGTTTGACGCTGCCCTGGAGGAGAAGGACCAAATGATTACTGTGCTTCAGACACAGGTGTTTATATACAGTACAGTTCATAGTGAAAGTATTCTCTCCTCTTCCAGTTTTCACATTTTGTTAAATTTTTGTTAAATGTAAAATGCATCACGTTGGGATTTGCTCCCACCGATCTGTTAAGAAAAATGATCAAATGTCTACATTTTTATTGTTTTATTTATTGTTTTTTTATGTGTGTTTCAATGGGTGTATGCTGAACACAGTCAGTATAATCTTGACTGTTGAATAATGTCTGGTCTCTAGCCTGTGTTGCTCTGTGTTTTGACTGTGTCCCCCCCCCCCCCCCCCCCATCCTCCTTCTCTGCCAGGTTGCACTGATGAAGAAGCGTCTGAAGGGGGTTCCTGGTGGAGCTGTGGCCCCTGAGGTTGAACACCCTCTCCAGGCTGAAGATCATCCAGACTCTGCCTCTGCCCCACAGAGCCCCTCCAAAGACCCAGGTACTATACAGCACAGACACTATGCTGACTCACACCCCTGATAGATGATGATGATGATGTGTAGATGGACAGTAGCAGACCTGGGTTCAAATAGTATTGTCTGGTACAATGGAACCAATTGAATAGTGCCTAAGGTGGAAACCCTCTACACCTCTGGCACTCTAGGCAGGCTCAACCAAACACTTAGTGTTTTAATTTCTAATACTGTTTAGACCCAGGTCTGAGTCATTTAGTGTTGAAATGTTTAGAGCCATCTGGCTTTTATCAAGTTTATCGAGTATATTTAAAGGGATAGATCACCCAAATTACAAAATGACATATTGGTTTTGTTACCCTGTAAGCAGTCTATAGACAAGGTATGACAGCAATCCATGCTTTGATTTAGTTTCCCTGGCAATGTTTCCATATGCTAACGTTTTAGCATTTGTGGCACAAATCCCATTCTAGTCATAGGACCGATATTAGCATTTTGCACACATCATGTCCAAATCATCAGAAAGTATCTAAAATTGATTGTGAAGCTCAACAAAGTGACTTATAGATGTTTTGAACATGATGTGCGAAAAATGCTAATATCGGTCCCATGACTTGAATGGGATTTCTGCCATAAATCCTAAAACGTTAGCATGTGGAAACAGTGCCAGGGAAACTAAACCAAAGCATGGATTGCTGTCATACCTTGTCAATAGACTACTTACAGGGTAAGGAAACCAATGTGTAGTGTGGGTGAACTATCCCTTTTAACACATAAAACCACAACCACCAATCCTTAACGCCTCAGTCATAGTCAGTACTCCCCTTCGTCTGACTGAGCCACATTACCTCATTTAACCTGAGAAGGCAGCGCTGACCCATCGAAAACCATGGAGGTGCTGCAGATGGAAATTCCAAGATGGCGTAGCAGTGCGGTCGTATTTTCTGTTGTGTCCTCGTGTTAATAGCCAGTTCTTTAGTTTTTTTGTCTATTTTGTATATATTTCTCAATTTTACTTTTTTACTTTTCATTCTTTAACTAAATATACTTTCCTGCAACCCGCCTCACCCAACGTGAAAAGGATTCTATTATTTATTTATAACTTTTATCAAGAACCTTAAGCTGAAACTAGTCTAGCAACCGAATGGCTGTTGTAGCCAGCTAGCTAGCTACTTGCTATTAGCCACCATTAGCGGTCTAAACCATTGTCCGTGGCCTGCACTACACACCAGCCAGCTCTAGCTCTAGCCTGGACAATTTGTCGGCCAGTCTGCACAGCGTGCTATTGACCCAGAGCATATCGGATTTTCTGCCGGAATCACTGGACCCTAACGCCGGATCATCGCAACTTGCTAGCTGCAACCGAATGGCTGTTGTCGTTGGCTAATTACCATTGCCCCTTAGCAAGCACCAGTTAGCCTTGAGCTAGCCTCGAGCCAGGCCCATCTCCCGGCTATCTACCTCTCTGTCAACCGGACGGGACCTCCTAGTGTTGACACGGAGCCCTGCCGATCCAACACGACTGGTCTGCCGACGAAATCGTCTGATGTGGTTTCAACAGGCTTCCCGTTACGACGTCGACCCCGAAAATCCATCTGCTAACCCCGGCCCGCTAGCACACGCAAGCTGTGCCTCTTGCTCGCCAGTGCTGTAGCAGTCCCCGAACTACCTCTGAACTCTCCTATTGCTGTTCACCGGACCTTATGATAACTCAGCTATACAGCTGATGCCTGCTGGACTGTTCCTTTATACGGTACCGCATCCTGTTTATGTTTAGCCTCAGCCCAAACTTTGTCACCATTACCAGCTGTTGTCTTAGCTCTCTCGAATAACACCTGTGATTGCTTTATGCCTCTCTCCCATGTCAATATGCCTTGCTTATTGCTGTTTCGGTTATTTCTTATTGTACTATTTCACTGTAGAGCCCCCAGTCCAGCTCAACCTGCCTTAAATAGCTCCTTTGTCCCACCCCCCATACACGCGGAGACCGACTCAATCGGTGCCTCCAGTGATGCTATCTCTTTCATCGTTACCCAACGCTGAGGTTTACCTCCACTGTACTCATATCCTTCCATATCCTTGTCTGTACATAATGCCCTGAATCTATTCTACAACGCCCGGAAATCTGCCCCTTTTATTCTCTGTACCCAACGCACTAGAAGACCAGTTTTTAAAGCCTTTAGCCGTATCCTTATTCTACTTCTCCTCTGTTCCTCTGGTGATGTAGAGGTTAACCCAGGCCCTGTAGCCCCCAGTATCACTCCTACTCCCCAGGCGTTATCATTTGTTGACTTCTGTAACCGTAAAATCCTTGGTTTCTTGCACGTTAACATCAGAAGCCTCCTCCCTAAGTTTGAGTTATTCACTGCGTTAGCACACTCTGCCAACCCTGATGTTCTAGCAGTGTCGGAATCCTGGCTTAGGAAGGCCACCAAAAATTCAGAAATGTCCATCCCCAACTACAACATGTTCCGTCTCGATAGAACTGCCAAAGGGGGTGGGGTTGCAATCTACTGTAGAGATAGCCTGCAAAGCTCTATCATACTATCCAGGCCTGTGCCCAAACAGTTTGAGCCTCTACTTCTAAAAATCCACCTTTCCAGTCTCTCACTGTTGCCGCTTGCTACAGACCCCCCTCAGCCCCGAGCTGTGCCCTGGACACCATATGTGAACTGATTGCCCCCCATCGATCCTCAGAGTTCGTACTGCTTGGTGACCTAAACTGGGATATGCTTAACAACCTACATTCTAAACTAGATTCCCTCAATCTCACACAAATTATCAACGAACCTACCAGTTACAACCCTAAATCTGTAAACATGGGCACCCTCATAGATATCATCCTGACAAATTTACCCTCTAAATACACCTCCGCTGTCTTCAACCAGGATCTCCGCGATCACTACCTTATTGCCTGCGTCAAACGACCACCCCTCATCACTGTCAAACGCTCCCTAAAACACTTTAGCGAGCAGGCCTTTCTAATTGACCTGGCCCGGGTATCCTGGATGGATATTGACCTCATTCCGTCAGTAGAGGATGCCTGGTTGTTCTTTAAAAATGCTTTCCTCTCAATCTTAAATAAGCATGCCCCATTCAAAAAATTCAGAAGTAAGAACAGATATAGCTGCTGGTTCTCCTCAGACTTGACTGCCCTTGACCAGCACAAAAACATCCTGTGGCGTACTGCATTAGCATCGAACAGCCCCCGCGATATGCAACTTTTCAGGGAAGTCAGGAACCATTATACACAATCAGTTAGGAAAGCAAAGGCTAGCTTTTTCAAACAAAAATGTGCATCCTGTAGCACTAACTCCAAAAAGTTTTGGGACACTGTAAAGTCCATGGAGAATAAGAGCACCTCCTCCCAACTGCCCACTGCACTGAGGCTAGGAAACACTGTCACCACTGATAAATCTACAATAATCGAGAATTTCAACAAGCATTTTGCTACGGCTGGCCATGCTTTCCACCTGGCTACCACTACCCCGGACACCAGCTCTGCACCCTCTGCTACAACTTGCCCATGCCCCCCCCCCCCCCCGATTCTCCTTCACACAAATTCAGTCAGCTGATGTTCTGAAAAATTTTGACCCCTACAAATCATCTGGGCTAGAATCTGGACCCTTATTACTAGCCTGTTCAACCTCTTTTTCGTAACGTCTGAGATCCCCAGAGATTGGAAAGCTACCGCGGTCATCCCCCTCTTCAAAGGGGGTGACACTCTAGATCCAAACTGTTACAGACCTATATCCATCCTGCCCTGCCTTTCGAAAGTATTTGAAAGCCAAGTTAACAAACAGATCACAGACCATTTCGAATCCCACCGTACCTTCTCCGCTATGCAATCCGGTTTCCGAGCTGGTCGTGGGTGCACCTCAGCCACGCTCAAGGTCCTAAACGATATTATAACCGCGATCGATAAAAGACAGTACTGCGCAGCCGTCTTCATCGACCTGGCCAAGGCTTTCGACTCTGTCAACCACTGCATTCTTGTTGGCAGACTAAATAACCTTGGTTTCTCAAATGACTGCCTTGCCTGGTTCACCAACTACTTCTCAGATAGAGTTCAATGTGTCAAATCGGAGGGCCTGTTGTCTGGACCTCTGGCAGTCTCTATGGGGGTGCCACAGGGTTCAATTCTCGGGCCGACTCTATTCTCTGTGTATATCAATGATGTCTCTCTTGCTGCTGGTGACGCTCGGATCCACCTCTATGCGGACGACACCATTTTGTATACATCTGGCCCTTCATTGGACACTGTGTTAACAAACCTCCAAACAAGCTTCAATGCCATACAACACTCCTTCAGTAGCCTCCAACTGCTCTTAAACACTGGTAAAACTAAATGCATGCTCTTCAACCGAACGCTGCTTGCACCCGCCCACCCGACTAGAATCACTACTCTCGGCGGGTCTGACCTAGAGTATGTGGACAACTACAAATACCTAGGTGTCTGGTTAGTCTGTAAACTCTCCTTCCAGACTCACATTTAAGCATCTCCAATCAAAAGTTAGATCTAGAATCGGCTTCCTATTTCGCAACATAGCCTCCTTCACTCATGCTGCCAAACATGCCCTCGTAAAACTGACTGTCCTACCGATCCTTGACTTCGGCGATGTCATTTACAAAATAGCCTCCAACACTCTACTCAGCAAATTGAATGTAGTCTATCACAGTGCCATCCATTTTGTCACCAAAGCCCCATATACTACCCACCATTGTGACCTGTACACTCTTGTTGGCTGGCCCTCACTACATATTCGTCGCCAAACCCACTGGCTCCAGGTCATCTATAAATCACTGCTAGGCAAATCCCTGCCTTATCTTAGCGCACTGGTCACCATAGCAACACCCACCCGTAGTCTGCGCTCCAGCAGGTATATCTCACTGGTCATCCCCAAAGCCAACACCTCCTTTGGCCGCCATTCCTTCCAGTTCTCTGCTGCCAATGACTGGAACAAACTGCAAAAATCTCTGAAGCTGGAGACTTTTATCTCCCTCACTAACTTTAAGCATCAGTTGTCAGAGCAGCTTACTGATCACTGAACCTGTACACAGCCATTCTGAAATTAGCCCACCCAACTACCTCATCCCCATATTGTTATTTATTTTGCTAATTTACACCCCAGTATCTCTATTTGCACATCATCTTTTGCACATCTATCATTCCAGTGTTAATACGAAATTGTAACTATTTTGCACTATGGCCTATTTATTGCCTTACCTCCATAACTTACCACATTCGCACACACTGTATATATATTTTCTGTTGTATATTTGACTTTGTTTTGTTTACCCCATATGTAACTGTGTTGTTGTTTTTATCGCACTGCTTTGCTTTATCTTGGCCATGTCGCAGTTGTAAATGAGAACTTGTTCTCAACTGGCTTACCTGGTTAAATAAAGGTGAAATTAAATTTTTTTAAAAAGATGGTTAGGGATAGGATTAGAACGTGTATGTATATCTATGTAATATAACATGTACAGTGCATTCGGAAAGTATTCAGACCCCTTGACTTTTTCCACATTTTGTTACGTTACAGCCTTATTCTAAAATTGATTAAATTGTTTTTTTCCCCTCATCAATCTACACACAATACCTCACAATGACAAAGCAAAAACAGGTTTTTAGATTTTTTTTGCAAATGTATAAAAAATAAAAAAACGGGAAATACCACATTTACATAAGTATTCAGACCCTTTACTCAGTGCCTTGTTGAAGCACCTTTGGCAGCGATTACAGCCTCGTCTTCTTGGGTATGACGCCACGAGCTTGGCACACCTGTATTTGGGGAGTTTCTCCCATTCTTCTCTGCAGATCCTCTCAAGCTCTGTCAGGTTGGATGGGGAGCGTCGCTGCACAGCTATTTTCAGGTCTCTCCAGAGATGTTAGATCGGGTTGAAGTCCAGGCTCTGGCTGGGCCACTCAAGGACATTGTCGTTGTCCTGTTGGATGGTGAACCTTCGCCCCAGTCTCAGGTCCTGAGCGCTTTGGAGCAGGTTTTCGTCAAGGATCTCTCTGTACATTGCTCCGTTCATCTTTTCCTCGATCCTGACTAGTCTCCCAGTCCCTGCCGCTGAAAAACATCCCCACAGCATGATGCTGCCACCACCATGCTTCACTGTAGGGATGGTGCCAGGTCTCCTCCAGACGTGATGCTTGGTATTCAGGCCAAAGAGTTCAATCTTGGTTTCATCAGACCAGAGAATCTTGTTTCTCGTGGTCTGAGAGTCATTTAGGTGCCGTTTGGCAAACTCCATGTGGGCTGTCATGTGCCTTTTACTGAGGAGTGGCTTCCATCTGGCCACTATACCATAAAGGCCTTATTGGTGGAGTGCTGCAGAGATGATTGTTCTTCTGGAAGGTTCTCCCATCTCCACAGAGGAGCTCTGTCAGATTGACCATCGGGTTCATGGTCACCTCCCTGACCAAGGCCCTTCTCCCCCGATTGCTCAGTTTGGCCGGACGGCCAGCTCTAAGAAGAGTATTTTGGTGGTTCCAAACTTCTTCCATTTAAGAATGATGGAGGCCACTGTGATCTTGGGGACCTTCAATGCTGCAGAAATGTTTTGGTACCCTTCCCCAGATTTGTGCCTCGACACAATCCTGTCTCGGAGCTCTACGGACAATCCCTTCGACCTCATGGCTTGGTTTTTGCTCTGACATGCACTGTCAACTGTGGAACCTTATATAGACATGTGTGTTCCTTTCCAAATCATGTCCAATCAATTGAATTTACCACAGGTGGACTTCAATCAAGTTGTATAAACATCTCAAGGATGATCAATGGAAACAGGATGCACCTGAGCTCAATTTCATAGCAAAGGGTTGGAATACTTATGTAAATAAGGTATTTCTGTTTTTTTATTTGTAATACATTTGGAAAAATAAATAAAAACCTATTCACTTTGTCGTTATGGGGTATTGTGTGTAGATTGATGAGGGAAAAAATTAATTAAATAAATTTTAGAATAAGGCCGTGAAGTAACAAAATGTGGAAAAAGTCAAGGGGTCAGAATACTTTCCGAATGCACTGGATGCCTCTCAGTGGGAATCCCTTTTTCTCACAAAGCTGCGTTGCCTCTTCTAATCAACAGAGGGCAGCACTGACCTATCTAAAAGCATGGAGGCGCTGCAGAAGAGGGTGACACGCCAGGAGAATCTACTCCAGAAGTGTAAGGAGCTGCTGAGGACACACAAGGAGCGCAGTGCCCAGCTGACCAGCGAGAACGACACTCTGCAGGAGCAGCTGCAGGAGAGACTGCAGGAGCTGGAGAAAACCAAGGTGTGTTAACCAATGTCGGTGGAGGGAGAAATGGAGAGGATGTTTTGTGATAGTATTCCATAGCTTGAATGGAACGGTATGAAACACGCAAATAAAGTTGTGCGATCATAAATTAGCAATATTGCATTCTGGCCATTACAATTAGCCATTTTGTTTTACATGGATCTTCTAATCAACTTTTTTGGAAAAGAAACACCCAGGAATACACATTTTAGAAGGCCATTTTCCACATATGGTCACCACAGAAATGGCCGCTTGTACTTAGTACACTGTAGTGTTGAAGGGAGTTCATTATATGGGGCTGAAGAGTGAGTGTCAACCACAGAATTCAACAGAATACATGTATCTCTATGGTGTGAACAGTAACACCATGTTTCACAACACTGTCATAAATAATCCAATGGAGTCTTCATGGTTTAGTGATCATGTGCCTGGTCTGTGGCTTCACTATCTATTTCTATGACACACGTACACACACACACACACACACACACACACTCTATCGCTCAGAAAGGGTGTGGAGCTTTGTCTTGTTATGATGCCCCAAAACCTCTGGCTAGAAACCAGAGATGCATCCCAAATGGCACCCTTTTCCATACATTGTGCACTATAGGGTGCTATTTAGGACTTTTGGCTGTTTAGTTTGGCTGTGGTGTCTGTCGTTTTCACTAGCGGCTGTTGAGTGATGCTGGGCGTTAGAACAGGCCTGTGATAACAGACAATAGCTCTGCACGATGGGCAGAGGTGTGTGTGTGTGTGTGTGTGTGTGTGTGTGTGTGTGTGTGTGTGTGTGTGTGTGTGTGTGTGTGTGTGTGTGTGTGTGTGTGTGTGTGTGTGTGTGTGTGTGTGTGTGTGTGTGTGTGTGTGTGTGTGTGTGTGTGTGTGTGTGTGTGTGTGTGTGTGTGTGTGTGTGTGTGTGTGTGTGTGTGTGTGTGTGTGTGTGTGTGGAGTTGCATAATGCGCGTGCGTGTGTTTGGGTGGAGTTACAGGATGTGTGTGTGTGTGTGTTGAACCTGGCCAGTGTCTGAGAACAGGGCTGTTCCTGTGACAGAAAGAGCCAGAGGTTAACAGGCACTCAGCTCTCCTAACCAGCATGGAGGGGCTTGCTCATCCACAGACACACACACCCTGTAAAACAGACAGCAGCTGTCTCCCAGGCCACCATTTCACCTTTGGGATCTTGTATTTATATGGCGTTGTGGTCTGTTTCGTATTTGTGTTAAATTATTATTTGCCTTATTGTATGTTTTCACAGAGTAGTTTCATAGCTACTGTGTGAGAACATACAAACCACTGCTGCTAACCCAACCTAACCTGATCTGTGTGTTGGTTTAGCTGGCCTTGTATGCAGCCTCTGTTGACAACCGCCTTGTGGCTGTGGTGGCCGGGCCTCATGGGTGGTGTAGGGAGACTAGGGAGCAGCTTAAGGAGAGGTGTGGTCTGAAGGGGTCACTCTCTGCCTGTTATGCAGAAACATTTTGGAACCTGTCTTGGTCCTTCCTTGTTTTATTTAACCTTTTTCTAACTAGGAAAGTAGCCTGTTCCCAGAGCTGTTCGTGCTGTATTCATTGTTCATTGAAACGACCATAGGAGTTGGCTATACAACAAAACGCATATGGGACCAGATTACCAGGAAAGAGCCTGGAGGTTCATGCGAGGGCAACCTGTGCAATAACCTGAGCACGGTCCTGATGATTTAAACAATATGTTGTAAGGAATGATACATCCATTTGTATGAAATCTGATGTTTGTACCCCTGCTTAAAGGTTATGAGGAGTAGTTGGTTGTCTAAATTCAGTTCAGTGTTATTAAGAACAGTGCCCTGACATTAACTACAGTGGTGCTCCTGTTCCTTTACTACAGTGGTGCTCCTGTTCCTTTACTACGGTGGTGCTCCTGTTCCTTTACTACGGTGGTGCTCCTGTTCCTTTACTACGGTGGTGCTCCTGTTCCTTTACTACGGTGGTGCTCCTGTTCCTTTACTACGGTGGTGCTCCTGTTCCTTTACTACGGTGGTGCTCCTGTTCCTTTACTACGGTGGTGCTCCTGTTCCTTTACTACGGTGGTGCTCCTGTTCCTTTACTACGGTGGTGCTCCTGTTCCTTTACTACGGTGGTGCTCCTGTTCCTTTACTACGGTGGTGCTCCTGTTCCTTTACTACGGTGGTGCTCCTGTTCCTTTACTACGGTTGTGCTCCTGTTCCTTTACTACGGTGGTGCTCCTGTTCCTTTACTACGGTTGTGCTCCTGTTCCTTTACTACGGTGGTGCTCCTGTTCCTTTACTACGGTGGTGCTCCTTTTCCTTTACTACGGTGGTGCTCCTGTTCCTTTACTACAGTGGTGCTCCTGTTCCTTTACTACTGTGGTGCTCCTGTTCCTTTACTACGGTGGTGCTCCTGTTTTCCTTTACTACGGTGGTGCTCCTGTTCCTTTACTACGGTGGTGCTCCTGTTCCTTTACTACAGTGGTGCTCCTGTTCCTTTACTACTGTGGTGCTCCTGTTCCTTTACTACGGTGGTGCTCCTGTTTTCCTTTACTACGGTGGTGCTCCTGTTTTCCTTTACTACGGTGGTGCTCCTGTTCCTTTACTACGGTGGTGCTCCTGTTCCTTTACTACGGTGGTGCTCCTGTTCCTTTACTACGGTGGTGCTCCTGTTCCTTTACTACGGTGGTGCTCCTGTTCCTTTACTACGGTGGTGCTTCTGTTCCTTTACTACGGTGGTGCTCCTGTTCCTTTACTACGGTGGTGCTCCTGTTCCTTTACTACGGTGGTGCTCCTGTTCCTTTACTACGGTTGTGCTCCTGTTCCTTTACTACGGTGGTGCTCCTGTTCCTTTACTACGGTGGTGCTCCTGTTCCTTTACTACGGTGGTGCTCCTGTTCCTTTACTACGGTGGTGCTCCTTTTCCTTTACTACGGTGGTGCTCCTGTTCCTTTCCTACGGTGGTGCTCCTGTTCCTTTACTACGGTGGTGCTCCTGTTCCTTTACTACGGTGGTGCTCCTGTTCCTTTACTACGGTTGTGCTCCTGTTCCTTTACTACGGTGGTGCTCCTGTTCCTTTACTACGGTGGTGCTCCTGTTTTCCTTTACTACGGTGGTGCTCCTGTTCCTTTACTACGGTGGTGCTCCTGTTCCTTTACTACGGTGGTGCTCCTGTTCTTTTACTATGGTGGTGCTCCTGTTCCTTTACTACGGTGGTGCTCCTTTACTACGGTGGTGCTCCTGCTCCTTTACTACGGTGGTGCTCCTGTTCCTTTGATGACTTGCAGATTAATCAATGTTTTACTTTCAAAGATGGTCCATTAATCCTTACCCAAAGAGCACCTTCCCTTCCCATGTATTATCTGATCTCTCCTTCCGTCTGTCTGTCCTCACTGCCTTCGCTGTTGCTTTGATACCTTGCACATTAACCCATTTTTTACGTATCTCCTTCCGTTTGTCTTGTCTACTCTACAGGAGCTGCACACCACAGAGAAGATCAAGCTCATCACCCAGCTGCGTGATGCTAAGAACCTTATCGAACAACTGGAGCAGGACAAGGTGAGTGAAGAGGGCTTCTTAATGGGATAGTTCACTTTTTAAACGTTTTTAACTTACCTAGTTCTATTCTAGGGTGTTAAAAATGCTAGCTATGAGATTCTGGACGTTGCTAAGCCAGCTAACGAACTTAAAAACTGTTTGAACTGTCCTTTTTTAAGGTTGGTCATATATTTTGATTGTCAGTGGAGGCTGGTGACACTTCCAATCAGGTTCATCGTATTGGCTAGAATGGAATGAATGGAATCCTAAAACAACACATGGAGACCAGGTGTTTGAAGTGTTTTATACCTTTCCTTTCCTTTCATTCCAGCCATTACAATTACCTCATCCTTCGATTGCTCCCTCTTTCCACCAGCCTCCACTATTCTGGTCCTAACTTTGAGTGCCCCTTAAATGTCCTCCGCACTGCAGTGATGCTTAGTGTGAATCTGTGAAATATCGACATGTGTGTGCTATGCCACTGAGTGCAGAGATGTCAGAAACACTCTATCCACGATTATTGCGCTTGACCATTAACCTCTGGCTCTGCAGGAGAGGTGTGTGTGTGTGTGTGTGTGTGTGTGTGTGTGTACATTAATGCCAAACATGAAAGTAGAGAGTTTTACGCACATCCCCCAAAATAATAGAATAACAAATGTTCTCCATCTGCGTCCTTGTCTTGGTTAGAGACAATACCTGTCCGATTGGAAAGACACTATCATAACAGTGCAGATCAAAAATGAATGAATGCTTCACATGTCCATTGAGGACCTATTTGGAAATAAACTATATATACAAAAGTATGTGGGCATCCTTTCAAATTAGTGGATTCGGCTATTTCAGCCATACCCGTTGCTGACAGGTGTATTAAATCGAGCACACAGCCATGCAATCTCCATAGAAAAACATTGGCAGTAGAATGGCCTTACAGAAAAGCTCAGTGACTTTCAACATGACACCGTCATAGGATGCCACCTTTCCAACAAGTCAGTTCGTCAAATTTCTGCCCTGCTAGAGCTGCCCCGGTCAACGGTAAGTGCTGTTATTGTGAAGTGGAAACGTCTAGGAGCAACAACCGCTCAGCCGCAAAGTGGTAGGCCACACAAGCTCACAGAACAGGACCACCGAGTGATGAAGCGCGTAGCACGTAAAAATTGTCTGTCCTCGGTTGTAACACTCACTACCGAGTTCCAAACTGTCTCTGGAAGCAACGTCAGCACAATAACGGTTCGTCGGGAGCTTCATGAAATGGTTTCCATGGCCGAGCAGCCTCACACAAGCCTAAGATCACCATGCGCAATGCCAAGCGTCGGCTGGAGTGGTGTAAAGCTTGCTGCCTTTGGACTCTGGAGCAGTGGAAACACGTTCTCTGGAGTGATGCATCACATTTCACCATCTGCCAGTCCGATGGACGAATCTGGGTTTGGCGGATGCCAGGAGAACGCTACCTGCCCCAATGTATAGTGCCAACTGTAAAGTTTGCTGGAGGAGGAATAATGGTCTGGAGCTGTTTTTCATGGTTCGGGCTTGGCCCCTTAGTTCCAGTGAAGGGAAATCTTAACACTACAGCATACAGTACAATGGCATTCTAGATTATTCTGTGCTTCCAACTTTGTGGCAACAGTTTGGGGAAGGTCCTTTCCAGTTACAGCATGACAATGCTCCCGTGCACAAAGCGAGGTCCATACAGAAATGTTTTGTTGAGATCAGTGTGGAAGAACTTGAGTGGCCTGCACAGAGCCCTGACCTCAACCCCATCGAACACCTTTGGGCCTAATTGCCCAACATCAGTGCCCGACCTCACTAATGCTCCTGTGGCTGAATGGAAGCAAGTCCCCTCAGCAATGTTCCAACATCTAGTGGAAAGCCTTCCTAGAAGAGTGGAGGCTGTTATAGCAGCAAAGCGGGGGACCAACTCCATATTAATGAGCTGTTCGACGAGCAGGTGTCCACATACTTTTGGACGTGTAGTGTAAGTGTTTTCATTAATGTGCTATCCTCTGGGATCACATGCACATATTGTTGATATACATCATGTATTATTTTATTTCCGAAAGTAAAATTAAATTAAATCCAATCATGGCTGTACCTTCAGGGCATGGTCATTGCAGAGACGAAGCGTCAAATGCATGAGACTCTGGAGATGAAGGAGGAGGAGATCGCCCAGCTCCGCTCCAGAAGCAAGATGGCCGCCGCCCAGAGAGAGGAACTGCAGGAGCAGAAGGAAAAGTCTGAGAAAGCTGGTCAGTGGATCTCCTCTTCTTCCTCTGTAACAATTTGTAAGTTGTACATGTACAGTATCTGACCGATGATGTGTGTTTGCGCCTTCCCCCAGCGTTTGAGGAGCTGGAGAAGGCTCTGGCCGTGGCCCAGAGGGCTGAGGAGGCGCGGAGGCTGCTGCAACTCCAGCTGGAGGAGCAGGTGAAGGAGGTAGAGAGGGCTGGGGAAGAGGAGAGGAGGAGTCTGCAGCAGGAGCTCACCAGGGTCAAGCAGGAGGTGGTCACCATCATGAAGGTGAGGGACATCTACTGTACTTCAAAATACTAATGAAATACTCACTCAGTACTTATGCAGTACTCATGCAGTAGTACATTTACATTTACATTTTAGTCATTTAGCAGACACTCTTATCCAGAGCGACTTACAGTTAGTGAATACATTTTTTTTATTTTTATACTGGCCCCCCGTGGGAATCGAACCCACAACCCTGGCGTTGCAAACGCCATGCTCTATCAACTGAGCTACATCCCTGCCGGCCATTCCCTCCCCTACCCTGGACGACGCTGGGCCAATTGTGCGCCGCCCATGAGTCTCCCGGTCGCGGCCGGCTGCGACAGAGCCTGGATTCGAACCAGGATCTCTAGTGGCACAGTTAGCACTGCGATGCAGTGCCTTAGACCACTGCGCCACTCAGGAGACATAGTACACAATCACTACTCACCCAGTACCAAGAGCAGGGTGTCAATTCCATTTCAATCCCAGTAAATTCACTATGGGGCCGATTTCTACCAGATTTAAGCGCATGTAAATGGAACGTAATTCCCTTTTTGATGCATTTTTCTCTCTGAGTATTCAGAACTTGAAATTAAGCATGAGAATAACATGCTATTCACCCACTATTCGTTTCGGGGTGGAGATCTAAGATATGAAGGTGTGGTGGAGTTTTGTCTACAGATACGCTGTATTCTGACCATGACTTAACTCCCTGCATAACTACATATATAGTCAACAGCATGCTCTTACCAACTGAACCACAAAGGACTACCTGTATTACCCATCCATTGCAATCACATGAGTATGTAATATTGTGTTGCTATTTGTGTTGTAGAAATCCTCGCAGGAGAAGATGGCAGAGATGGACAAGCTACATCGTGAAGCACTGGCCAGTAAAGAACTAGAGCTCAGTTCTCGAGTCAACCAGGCCGTGGTAAGTTCATATCTTTAATACTGTATTTTTCCCTCTCTACCCGTATACGGCAAAACAAACTCAGCTATAGTTTTGACCAGAGTGTTTGAGGTGCATGTTTATGTATATTTTGTGAATATTTCTCCAGCACTGTCTTGATGTTTCTATTGCTGTTTTATTGTGAGCGCTCTGAGTAAGATATCCAATGTATTTATTACATATGGCAAATAAACTTAACTTGAATTGTGTGTTTGGTGTAGGAGCAGTGTAAAGAGGAGCTTGCCCAGGCTGCCAAGGAGATGGAGCAGCAGTCTGCCCTTGCCCTGGAAGATGCAGAGCTGCAGAAGGCTGCCATAGAAACCGAGGCAGAGACCAATGCTAAGGAAATACGGCTGGAGTTGGAGACCGCCAGAACTGTAAGTGCTCATGTTGATTGTGTGGTTCTCGTCTATGTTGGAGAGAAACATGATGCACCATTAGGTTGAAGAGCAGAGTAGATGGGTAGTGAACATAAAGACTAATGCATTATTGATATTTGGAATTAGAATCTTTTGGCGTTTAGCTACTCTATCCAAATATGCTGCACATTGTTGATTCTACAGCAAATAATATACTCTAATGTATCTAGAAGCTTTACATTGTTTGGTTGATTCTATGGCAAACATACAATACATACACATCTCATTACAGAAAGTACTGGAACTGGAGAGCTCTCTGGAAAAGTACTCCCAACCTGGGTCAGTTCCACCATCAGATGATCTCTCCACTCAGATGGAGGAGCTGAGGAGAAAACACGTGGAGGAGGTGACTGCACTAAAGGAGAAGCACCGTGAGGAGCTGGAGAAGCACAAGGTAGAGCTGCACCAGGAGGCCTTAGCCCAACACAATGCTGCCATGGAGGAGTTCAGTGCGAAACACAGAACTGAAGTGGAGACCATCTTGAAGGAGAAAGAGGTCCAGTTGCATTCCCATGTAGAGGATATGAACCAGAAGACGATGGAGAAGCTGGATTTAAAACAAACTGAGTTGGAAGCCCTTTCCTCTGAGCTCCAGGAGGTGTTGAGGAGCAAGCAGGTTCTCGAGGAGAGACTGGATGCAGTTGAAAATGCTGGTGGGTCAGCCAGGCGGGAGCTGGAGCAGAGACTGCAGGAGGTGCTGACCAAGCACAGGGTGGATATTGAGGAGATCAAGCTGCAGCACGAGCAGACCCTTGGAGGAATGGAAAAGACGCTAAAAGAAGAACTCAACAAGTTGACAATGGTGCTGAAGGAGAAAGAGAAGGAGCTTGAGGCTCACCTTGTCTGTGAGAAAAGGCTGAAAGAAGAATCAGAGACGGTTCTTCAAGACCGGAATGCCAAGGTTAAAGAATTGGAGGAGCTTAGGAAGAGTTTAAAGCAGGCCCAGTCAGAAAAGAAGGGCCTTGAGAAATCTAACGCCCAACTCAGTAAGATCAGAGATGAACTCTCACAGTGCAAGAGTCAGTTGATAGACTTAGAGCAAAAACTGGTGACAACTCGAAGTGACTGCCAACAGAAAGAGGAATATCTTCAACAAAAGGTACAGGAGCTTGAAGAGCTAGAGAAGCAGTTGCAACAGGCTAAGAAGGAGCTCTCTGAACAGGATACTTCTTACACTGATGAACTGAACACTAAGCAAGAGGAAGAAAAACGACTAAAGAAACAGCTAGAGGACCAGAAGGCTGCTCATGAGAAGGTGGAAAACATTAAGACAGACATAGAGGCCAAGTTGAAATCACAGGAAACGAAGATGGAGAAATTTAAAACAAAGAACAAAGAGATGCAGGAGAAATTCAAGAAGAAGCTTCAGGAACAAGAGGAATCTTCAAAAAAGGAGCTGGCAAAGAAGGAGTCAGAGCTACAGCAGAAGGAACAGCAAGTTAAAGAGAAAATCCTGGAGTCTCAGACAAGTTCAGAAGGCCTGAGCAGTTCTATGTCCCAGCTTGAGGCCAACCACAAGGAAGAAGTAGTGAAGATGCGTGAAGTCCATAAGCAAGAGAAGGAAAAGCTTGAGCATCATTGGCAGGAACAGCTGGGACAACAGGAAGAGGAAATGCAGGAGAAACACACACAAATACTACAGGAGAAGGTACAGGAATTGGAGGAGGTCATCCAGCAGCTTGGAACCACCAAAGAAGAAAAGGAGCAAGTTGTACAGGAAGTGAAGAACTTGAAGGAAGAGTTGGTGATGAGACAGACCACTGTGCAGAAACTGCAAGCCGAGCTTAAGGAAGCGGCAGTCAAGATGGAGAGTTTATCTCAATCTGAGGCGATGTTCAAAGAGCAATTAGAGGCGGTTGAGAGGAATCTAAACACGGCTCTGAATGAGAGGAACTCCTTCCAGGATCAGGTAAGCAAGACTGAGGAGAAGGCAAGAGAGAAGATCAAGGCTCTGTCTGAGAGGTTCGTAGACACCGAGAAGCAGCTTCAAGCTCTTGAGGCTTCTAAGGGTAAAGAAGGGGAGGCCGTTCAGAGAAGACTTGAACAACATTCTCTTCAACTGGAAGTCAAGGAAAAAGAACTGCAGAAGCAGTTCACTGGGATCAGCAACGAACTGATGCGTTACTGCCGGGAAATTGAGGCCAGCATCGAAGGTGGTACGAAGGAACTCTCTGAACGAGTCGAGAGCAGAGTGAGAGAGCTGAAAGACAGGGTTCTGGGTAATCAGAAGAAGTTAGCACATCTTAAAAATGTTATCCTTACCAAAGTTGACAGGATACACACTTTGGAGGGGCAACTCCAGCAGAGGACAGAGGAGAGTAAGAACCTATTCAGTTCACTAGAGCAAATGACTGTTCAGCTAAATGTACACAAAGATGATATCAAAGCCTTAACTGCTGAGAGGGAGTCTCTACAGAGGGATGCTGAGAATCACTCTCAAGCTCTCTCAGAAAAAGTAATTTGCATCGAACAGCTCAGTGAGGAAAACCGAACCATCTCAGAGAATGTCAAAACAAACGTTGTGCATATCAGCAACTTGGAGAGTATCATAAACAACTTGAAGACCCAGTTAGCAGGTAGCCTTACGGGGAAGGATGAAGCCATATCACTGCTTGATCAGCAGCACAAGGAGGAGAGACAGAGGCTTGTTTGCCAAATGGAGGAGATCATTGACAGACTAGAGAAAGAGAAGAAATCTGCAGTGGAGCAAGGCGACGCCCTCAGGAACAACCTCACTGAGTTCAAGAGGAAAGCAGAGTCCAAGTTCTCTCAGAACCACAATACTGTCAAGTCTCTGCAGACCAGACTTGAGGATATGGAGAAACAGATCTCTGAGAAGAACGAGGCCTTACAAAGGCTGACTGCCAGCATCGACAATCAGTCCGTCAGCAAGTCGGAGATGGACCAAGCCTTGAGTGAAAAGGAGCAGAAAGTCAGTGCCCTTGCTTTGGAAGTGGAGAGCTGCAACAGCCGGCTCAGTGAGCTGGAGGAGCAGTTGGTCCTCAGGACGAAGGAGAGTGAGCAGCTAACTGCTGACCTGAAGCAGCAGCACAGTATCAGGGAGAGCGAGAAATGTGAGCTCACAGATCGTCTACAACAGACCCAGGAGCCGTTCAGAACCCAAAATGGAAATCTAGTCCAGGCTACAGAGCAGAAACTGCAGTCCCTGGAGAGCGAGAACCAAACTTTGAAACAAGAGCTGGAGCAGCAGAGGGAAGCCTTTGAGAAGGCAAAGGCTGAGATTCTCAAGAGCGAAGAGGAGAGTCTGAAGGCGGCTGAAGAGAGGTTTTCAAAAGACAATGCTGGGAAAGTGACAGAGCTGAAGAAGAAAGCTGAGCAGAAAATCAGCCAGATTCGGAAACAGTTGACCTCACAAATTGAGGAGAAGGAAAAGACCATCAAAGACCTTCGGACACAGTTGGAAGAGGCCAAGATAGATGAAGCGACAAAGAAGCAGCAGGTGGAAACCCTGGAGGAGAAAGGAAAGTCCCTTGAGGTAGCCATGGCCAAGATGAAGGAAGAACAGGAGAAACGCATTGAGGAAGTACTTAGTGATGAAAGACTGAAAAAAGAGAGCTCTTTACAGAGTTTGAAGGACATTTACAAAGAAAAGCTATCATCAGTTCAGAAAGACATTTTAAACCAGGAGGAAGCCCTAGCCAAGCTGAAGGAAGAACAAGAAAAACATATTGAGCAGGTACAGAACGACGAGAGACTTGAGAAAGAGAGGTTGTTGGAGAGTTTGAAGAACATGTACGAGGAAAAGCTATTGTCACTTCAGAGAGATGTTTCGAACCAGCAGGAGACGAAAGCAGATGAGACCCTCTCAAGGCTTGAGGAGATTAAGATGAAGCTTAAGGAAGTGGAGGAGGAAAAAGTAAACTTTCTGGCTGAAATAAGCTGCCTTAAGGAAGATCTGATTGAGAAGACTGCACTGATCGAACAGCAAAAGACCGAATTGGCTAGCTTAGAAAAACAGGGTACGAATGCAGTGGAGGTCGTGGAGCATTGCACTGCAGAGCAAACCAAGAGTCTCACAGCAGACAAAGAGACGGAGAACCACTCTCTGATGCAGGAAGTTGGGGATGCTGAATCTCTGTCGTCCCTGCAGAATAAGCTGGCAGAGGCGGCGCAGGAGAAGCAGAAGCTACAGAAAGACCTGCGTTCCCTGAGGAGGGAGCATGAGCAGGACCTGGAGTATGTGAAGAAAGAGTTGGCCCAAGAGAACAAGAAGAAGCTCAAGTAAGTTTGACCTAATGGTTCTGCCTTAGTGCAGTCAATCAGTCAAACAAACACAATTATAAAAAAATAACTTTTTACATCAGCAGTCACAAGTGTTTTACAGTAAAAGTGCATTAAAGTAGTCAGTTGAGGTCAGACAATAATAAATGCATTCGTTCCCCTTTCCATTATTCCTTTTTGGTACTTCCTTTCTTTCTCTATCCATACTGTATTTTAAATTATTCTCTCCCCATTGAACAGGCTTGAGGTCGAGGATCTGGAGATGAAGCAGAACTCATCCCTGAAGCAGCTGATGAGGGAGTTCAACACACAGATGGCTTTGAAAGAACAGGAGATGACTGCTGCACTGAAGGAGACCATTGGTGAGAGGGAATCAGAGTTTTCTGACAAGCCGTTGCATGATGAGACACTGGCAGGTATTACCATTGAAACTTCAGAAAAAGAAAGTCCCAGCTTTCTTTTTCTACAGTTCACTTTCTGTTAGTTAGCACCTCACGAAGTTTTTCGGAAGTGCGTCTTACTACTTATGCTACTATTAACATTTAGACTGTCAATGCCAAAACACCTAAATGAATATGCACATATGAAATCATTATATGTTATAAATAACGGTTTGTGTGACTAAAATGGTCTAAGTTGTTAGTTTATGCTTTCAAACTTCACCAATACAAATTCTTCATTGTTTGATCATTTGTCATGTAATTGAGAAAAATCCACAAATGAATGTGTAATTGGTCCTTGTAGTATTCATTTGAAGTGTTTCCAATAGAGAAAATGAAATGAGTTTTAAAGATGAGTGACTTTTTAGACAGAGAATAATAGGGGTGAAACAGAGTTGGGAGATGATTGAATTAGGAAACTGTCTCTGTCTGAAAGAATCACCATATGTTTTCACTGTAGGACAGTCATTAACACTGCATTCCAAAACGGAAGTGAGTAACTGGTTTGTAATATGTGAACTTCAAGGTCTACTACGTGCTTCGTTTCTGGGACCGTATTCAAAAACTGTCTCAGAGTATTGAATCTGATCTAGGATCAGGTCTAACCATTTACTCATTCGGTATGATCTAAAAGGCCAAACTGATCTCATATCAGCATTCTTCCTCTCCCTCCTTCTCTTCCTCCTCCTCTTTTCTCCTCCAATCAGGGAAGGCCCAGAGCGTGGAGGTGGAGCTTATGGACAGCCATCGGGAGGAGACCAATCAGCTGCAGAAGGTGATCACCCAGAAAGATGATGACTTAAACAGAACAGTCCAACGATATGAGCAGGTCCTGCAGGTACAGTACTGTATGAATGAATAGCACATTAATGTGTCTCTCGCACTTGCAATAACCTATACAGCTAAACTCTATCACTACGTGAATACATAGCAGTTCTTATGTAACTACAATGCTATTACTACAGCTATTACTGTGTAGCAACATGGGTATAAGGCCATTTTAAAGTAAAGGGTTAGATTAATTATTGACATTCATCATTACAGACAGACTGACTGGTTTGCTTTTAGAAAGTAGATTACAAGTAGGATTTACTGGTCCGACATTGGGTCTGTGTTCCTCAGAGGAATTTGTCCACTTGTGTTTTGTTTCCATGCCATGATTCTCATAGTATTGTTATACTGGTATCGTCATGACAACACTATTCCAGACTATAGTACGGAAACTCCTATCAGTTCTTGACATTTTTCAGCTTTGACCTTTATAAGAAAAGGACATGTACTCCACCAGTCATCAGGAAACTATTACTGACATGGAACCACCTCCCTTCAGTCAGTCCCACAGAGAACTCAGCTAAATGACAGAGACCTTCTGACTGTAGTGTCTGCTGAACGATTTACATTAAAGACTACTAGACTAAATGATGATGTGTGTGTCTACCATCTGACAGTCTGTTAAACGATTTACATTTGGAACTAGACTAAATGACTATAGAGGGATAGTCTGCTCTGCTCAGCTAAGTAAACTACAATAAAAGCTGTCTTCTGTCATTTATCACTGTCTCCAGACATAATGAAAGTGGGGAGGCCTGAAGTAGTGTAGCACTTGTTATTTGACTGAATGACAATACTGTGTGGTTGTGATATCAGATATACAGAGATGAAAGGCTTTTAGCGAAATGCTTGTGTACCCCCCAAAAAATGCAGACAAAAAATATATATAAATACAATAAAATAAATAGGGGAAAGTTATTTGAAAGTACTGTACTTTTTGAGTACAGACTTGCTGTATTTTGTAAGAGAGAAAATGACTTGGCCGTGGTTGTCCTGTTCTTCCCATCAGAGTCGAGAGGTGGAGATGGGTGACAGAGTGTGGCAGGTACAGAAAGAGCTGGAGGACCTGCAGGCAAGGACCCACAGCGGCAGTGGAGAGGTACAGTATCTCAGTTCATACTGTACATGTTTATTGGGAGCAGCACAGGGTGAAGCTAGGAGTAGGGGTTTAAACGTAAAACCTTTTTAACCAAATTGGGATCCTTAATGTTAAGAAAAAATCCCTAACCAAAAAACTATTATAATTTATTTCTCACAAAATTAAAATCATAGTGCAGTTATCACAAAACTACCACTAACAAGTCCCGATCATCATCATCATCATCATCAAGGGGAAAATAAAAATGAAACAAATACTTAACGCAACAATGCTGTAACGTTAGGAGTAGAATTTGTATTTTATTTTTAGCTACTTTATAATGAGGGAGAGTGAGAGGCTCGAAGCAGAGCAGCATCTCAAATGTGAGTGACGAGTGGAACAGGGAGGAGGAGAGAGATGGCAACCAAGTCGACTCGTGCTCGTAGACTAACTTATTGCTAGTTATTTATCATCTCATCTGATTACATAGTACTGGCCTTGACTGCATCAAACCGAGAGTAGTTAAGCTAGCTAGCTAGCTAACGTTTTCTAGGCTAGTTGATACTACATAACTTGAACTGTGCGCTTTCTCCCCTTCCGAATCCAACAGTAAATAACAACTCCTTTCAGATGATTAAGTAGCAGCCTATCTGTTGGCTGTTGGTGTTGTAGCCTGTCCTTCTCATTTTAATTCCAACCTCCATTGATTAGTCTAGATATCTCCTAATAGCTTGCCACACAGAGGCTCTAGCTCTGGTAAAAGCTACACGTACCACTCTCGTGAAAAGCAAGAGCACCAGCAGCATAAATTATATCATTTTCTCTCAGCAGGAAGCGCGATATAGACCATCTGCATTGTGAATTCACGTGGAATCGTATGAATTTTGACAGAAAACCGATAATAAAATGGCAGTTTAAACGTTAAGAACATTTTTCCATTTGTCACATCCCTAGCTAGGAGCACAACTAGCGGCACAGGGTTAGCCGCAGAGCAGTTTGGGGGTTAACTGCCACCGCCCACTGGTTGCTTGGCTCACTCCTCCCAGATTTCCCCTGTCAGCCCTGAGATTCAAAACGGCAACCTTCCAGTTACTGGCCCGCCTCTCTTAACTTTTAGGCTACTGCCGCCCCCATCGCTACAGGTTTACCGGTTTATTCATACTGTATTTAATTTACCCCCCGCACACAGGATGTCGAAAGAGGTTGCCATATCTGTGGGATTTTCAACCGACAGACACTGTGTGTCTCAAATTGCACCCTATTCCCTATTTAGTGCACTACTTTTGACTAGAGCCTTTAATGCCCTGGTCAAAAGTAGTGCACTATAAAGGGAATAGGGTGACTTTTGGGAAACACATACAGCCCTGGAGGCTTCGCTTGGCTGGATGACATATAGAATGGGATTCTGTTGAAGCAATACATTAATGCAGCTTCCTGCTCGTCCCACTCACAAAAGACACACACACACACCAACTGCAATTTTTGTTGATCCTGCCTCTGTGGTCCTACATTTGAAACACCTATGTGTCTGATGGAGGAAAGATTACCGGTTCAGTGTGGAAAGCCAAGCCGAACCAAACCCAGACTTGGGCCTTGTGTCGATATAGGCCTACCCTCAGGACCTTTTATAAGTTATCTTATTCAAAAGTTCAAACAGAGTTTACGTGCTTAACAGTTAGTGTCAGCTATCTTCTGCTTTGTTGTGGAGTAAAAATGTGTTTGTGTGTATGTGTCTCTGTGTTTGTGTGTGTTAACAACAGTACCTCCACTTTAATGACCTGAGTTACATTCAAGGCAATTGTCAAAGCGTGTTGCTTACATATTTAGCTGTATTCAGGCGATGGGTTCAAGTGAGGTGACTGGTCTCCAGAGCTAGCCGGATGCTCTGAGGATTTCTTGAATCAGACTGGGTAGTGTTCTCTTTTGGAAAACAGGTTTAAAGAGGCAGTACACCCCCTCTTCCATCCTCCATCCAGACCTGGGCTCAAATACTATTCCAAATCTTTCCAATACTTTAAGTTTTTTTTTTTTTTTTCAGCCTGCCTGGGGTGCCAGATGGGCGGAGGTTTTGTGACTATTCTATTGGTTCCATTTCGCCAGGCAAGCTCAGTCAAGCCCAGATAAAGTATGTGAACGTTATTAAATATTATTCAAACCCAGGTCTGGTACACACGATCCATCCTCCATCCCTGTTCCCAGTTAACCTCAGAGATATTTGTGTCACAAATGGCACTCTATTCCCTATAAGTAGTGAGCTATATGTGATTGGGCGGCGCGCAATTGGCCCAGCGTCGTCCAGGGTAGGGGACGGAATGGCCGGCAGGGATGTAGCTCAGTTGATAGAGCATGGTGTTTGCAACGCCAGGGTTGTGGGTTCGATTCCCACAGGGGGTATGAAAAAATATATATATAATGTAAGTCGCTCTGGATAAGAGAGTCTGCTAAATGACGTAAAATGTGTAACAGGGTGCCATTTGGGATGCAGTCATTCTCTGGACTGCGAGTATGCTTATAAAGGAGGGCTCTCAGGAAGACTGCTGCGTGCAAGAGGGGAGGGAGGTGTAGAAGAGAGAGCAGAGATGTACGAGAAAGAGAGAAGTTTGACGGTTACAAATGTGTAGACAGGGTGCCATTTGGGATGCAGTCATTCTCTGGACTGCAGATGTATGCTTTAGAAAGGAGAGGGCTCTCAGGAAAGAACTGCCTGCTGGGCAAGAGGATAGAGAGAGGGAGATGTAGAGAGAGAGAGATGTGGGAGAACGGGGGTAGATGAGAGAGAGTAGAGAAGTGTCTGAGAGTTGAGAGGAGAGGGTTTAGATGCAGAGGGATGGATGGTAGAGAGGAGAGGTAGAGAGGGCGGTGGAAGGTTGTGAGAGAGAGAAGGAGAGAGAGAGGGGTGTAGAGAAGAGGAGAGGAGAGAGAGGGTTGTTTTTTGAGAGATGTAGGAGTAGAGGAGAGGTGTAAGAAGAGAGAGAGAGAGGGTTGTAGAGAGTAGAGGAGGGAGAGTTGTAGAGGGAGAGTGAGAGGAGGATGGTTTGGAGATGAGGGAGAGAGAGAGGGTGTGTTGGAGAGAGGAGGGTGTAGAGAGAGAGGGGTGTGAGGGAGAGGTTGAGAGGGTTGTGTAGAGGGAGAGGGGTGTTGTAGAGAGAGAGGAGAGAGAGGTGTTGTAGAGGAGGAGAGGGTTGTAGAGGAAGGGAGAGAGAGGGGGGTGTGTAGAGAGAGAGGAGGGGGTGGTAGAGGGAGGAGGGGGTGTAGAGAGGAGAGAGGGTGTGTAAGGAGAGAGGGGGTTTTTTGGGGGGGTGGGGGGGAGAGGGAGGGAGAGAGAGAGGGGTGTTGAGTAGAGAGAGAGAGGGGGTGTTAGGGGAGAGGTGTGAGAGAGGAGGGTTTGAGAGAGAGAGGGTAGGGGGGTAGAGAGAGTGAGAGGAGAGGGGTGGTGTGTAGAGGAGAGAGGGCGGGGTGTGAGAGGAGGAGAGAGGGGTTTGTAGGTTAGAGGAGAGAGAGGGGTGTAGAGGGAGGGTTTAGAGAGGAGAGGGTGTTGTGAGGAGGAGGTTGAGAGATGAGAGAGGAGGGTTGTGTTAGAGAGAGGAGGGGTGTAGAGGGAGAGAGGGGTTTGTGAGAGAGAGAGGGGGTGTAGAGAGGGGGTTGTAGAGGAGAGGAGGGGGTGTAGAGAGGGTGAAGGGGTTGTGAGGAGGGGTGGTTTTGTGAGGAGAGTTTTAGAGAGAGAGGGGGGGTGTGGGTGGTTTTTGGGTTGTAGAGAGAGAGGGGTGTAGAGGGAGAGGGGGTAGAGAGAGAGGGAGGGGGTGGTGTTGTAGAGAGAGAGAGGGGTGTGAGAGGAGAGAGGGTGTAGAAGGAGGAGGGTGTTGGAGGAGAGAGAGGAGGGGTGTAGAGAGAGAGAGAGAGAGAGGGGTGTAGAGAGAGAGAGAGGGGTGTAGAGAGAGAGAGAGACAGGCGGGAGAGGGAGAATGAATACGCAGCAGGGAAGTGTTATCCTCCATGTGTTGTGGTGTAAAGAGACCCCCACAGACTAACACCCACACACAGTCACGCACACACGCCAGAACGCATACACCACATCGCGCACACACACACACTACACAAATACACACACACAATGAAGTGCAGCTCTTTTCTCATTCACCTCGCTGCTGCATATTTCCAAGCTGATGTAATATCTTTGTGGGGTTATACTCAGAAAGAACTACCCCTATTCAGGGCCTCACAGGCCACTCTCTACTCATGTAGATGTCAGGTCAGTCGCTCTGTCTCCATGCTTTACAGACACTGTGAAATAGAGCACTCACATGATGCTCCTATTAAAGTCACATTAATTGTATTTATCCATCTTTCAGGTTAATCCCATTGAGATTGGAATTGCTGTTCAAGAGAGCTCTGAAACCATTTTCAAACCATTTTCCCATTTAGGAGGAACGTCCAAAACTAGACCTACAGTTTCTTTAACGCCTGTATTGATTTGTTGCTCATGTCTGTTATTGATGATTGTGTTGTATTGATTCAGATGGGTGTAGAGGAGCTGCAGGCCCAGCTAGCTGAGAAGACCACCCTGCTGAGTGAGGCCAGGCTGAAGGAGCAGCAGTTTGCCGACAGGGTGAGTGTGCCAAGCCGGACCGTACTCTTCCAGCTTGGATGTTTTTTTTGTTTTTTTCCTTTAGAATTTTCTTCATTTAGCAGACGCTCTTATACAGAGCGATTTACAGGAGCAATTAGGGTTAAGTGCCTTGCTCAAGTGCACATCGGCAGATTTTCCACCTAGTCAGCTCGGTGATTCGAACCAGCGACCTTTCCGTTACTGGCCCAACACTCCTAACCGCTAGGCTACCTTTCCATTGTAGTTCCAGCAACTATGGTGGAGGTGTTATCAGGCCAGCACAGTACAGCTTGGCTCAGCTATGCTCGGTAGTGGGAAAAGGGCATCAGTTGGCCTTGGTCTTTCAGTCTCTGTCAGGACAGTACAGTACAGGACATCCCTCATTTCACACCACTGTATTCCTCTCTTCCTTTCCAGGACTCTTTCACCCTCTGACCATCCTATCTGACTGTTAGTCTATCTTTCTGGATTAAGTTAATTACATAGAACATCTGTTTATTCTTGCTGTAACCTTATAAACAATTACCCTGCCCCTTCACACTGTTTCTCTCATACACCTCTCCATACACACACACACGTACACACACACACACACACACACACACATACACACAAACACTATTTCTCTCACACATTTTGTCGACAGAGCATTCTCCAAATAAACTAAACCCTGGATGACCATAGAAGGCAAGTAGATTGTTATTCATCTCCCACAGACTGTTCAGTACAAGTCATTTTAAACGAACAGAACCACTTGAATAAAATGGTAACACTTTACTAAGCCTGTAGGTATAACACTTCATAAGTTGTTATAAGCATGTATAAGTTTAATTAAAGTTGCAGACTTTAATTAAAGTGTTCCCAAAAAAGAATCCCTTTTTGTTGATTTTGTGCTTTTTTTAATCATGTATTTTTCTAATATACTTTTCCCCTTCTAGATCCACTCACTGGAGGACAAGATGAGATGTGTCCACAAGAACTCAGTGGTGACTCATATGGGGAGCACGTTCAAAGGTAATGTAAACGTAAACATCTATGCTACTTTAAATATAAGCATCTATATAACAGAGGCATTCTTTCCTCTGGTCTATAAAAAATATTCCAATGCCCCAGGGCATTGATTGGGGACATTGCCCTGTGTAGGGTGCCGTCTTTCGGATCGGATGTTAAACGGGTGTCCTGACTCTGTGTTCACTAAAGATCCCATGGCACCTATCGTAAGAGTAATCTGTCCCTCGTACAATCATGGCCACCTAATCATCCCCAGCTTCCAATTGGCTCATTCATCCCCCTCCTCTCCCCTGTAACTATTCCCCAGGTCGTTGCTGTAAATACGAAAGTTCTCAGTCAACTTACCTGGTAAAATAAGGGTAAAAAAAAAATTATACACTACATGACCAAAGGTATGTGGACACCTGCTCGTCGAACATCTCATTCCAAAATCATGGGCATTAATATGGAGTTGGTCCCCCCTTTGCTGCTATAACAGCCTCCACTCTTCTGGGAAGGCTTTCCACTAGATATTGGAACATTGCTGTTGGGCGATTAGGCCCGCAATCGACGTTCCAATTCATCCCAAAGGTGTTCGATGGGGTTGAGATCAGGGCTCTGTGCAGGCCAATTAAGTTCTTCCACACCGATCTCGACAAACCATTTGTACAAAGCGAGGTATGGACCTCGCTTTGTACACAGAGGCATTATCATGCTGAAACAGGAAACGGCCTTCCCCAAACTGTTGCCACAAAGTTGGAAGCACAGAATCGTCTAGGATGTCATTGTATGCTGTAGCGTTAAGCTTTCCATTCACTGGAAATAAGGGGCCTGAACCATGAAAAACAGCCCCAGACCATTATTACTCCTCCGCCAAACTTTACAGTTGGCATTTTCGTTATGTATCTTATTTATCACACCCGTACAGCATACAGATACAGAGCCTTTGAGCAGAAAATCTGTCAGACAGAGCGAGAGCTGCTACTGCAGCATCTCAAACGGCAACGGAAGACGGGCTTCATCACTTTGCAATGAGCTGGAGGCAGTAGGCTATGCATTTTGAAGACATACTTCATTGTTTGAAACCTGAATGTTTTAAAATGTATTATGAGTCATGTCTTACCTTGCTTCAAAGTAACCTTTTAGATCGCCTCTTTTTCTAAATTTGTGATGGATATTTTAATCTCTGTCACATGAAACCGCTCACATGTGCAGTGCCCTTTTGACTACAGTGTTTTCTGATAATTGCTTTATTTACGTTTACATTTTAGTCATTTAGCAGACGCTCTTATCCAAAGTGACTTACAGTTAGTTATTTTTTTTATTTTTTATACTGGCCCCCCGTGGGAATCGAACCCACAACCCTGGCGTTGCAAACGCCATGCTCTATCAACTGAGCTACATCCCTGCCGGCCATTCCCTCCCCTACCCTGGACGACGCTGGGCCAATTGTGCGCCGCCCATGAGTCTCCCGGTCGCGGCCGGCTGCGACAGAGCCTGGATTCGAACCAGGATCTCTAGTGGCACAGTTAGCACTGCGATGCAGTGCCTTAGACCACTGCGCCACTCAGGAGCTTTATGTACCGAACATTCACGTGTAGCGTACTGCCTTGTGTGCATTGCTGTGCTTATAATGTGAAGAAATAATAGTTTATCAACATTTTAAGCGAAATGTTCTGATCTGTTGCATCAGACTCTCTCATTGCTTTTTAAAGTTTATTTTTATGTAGTCTAGGCCTGTTGGTTGTATGAATTTGGGATCGGTCTTCCCACAACTGTCCCAGAGTCTGTTTGGAACAGGCTGTTTCTCGACAAGCTGACCAATATAATAGGTAAACTTTTCTACTATGGGGGATAGTAGATTGACATAGGCTAGTGATTTTGCGCTTCGTTACTCGTCTTGGCTGAGTAAAAGTAAATGTGGCAGTTATTCTAACATCTTCAAAGTGCACATCAGAGTTCGGTAAGAAGGACCGCACATCGTTGCATCCTCGATTTGTATGTTCTGTTAATAAGAATTACCATAATCTAACTGAGATTTCTGTCATTCTGAGCACCGTGGGTGGACACCCTAATCAGGTTATGCGCCCAATGCATATGGATCCGGCAGATTTCTCAAATGTCTGGTAAATTAAAATGTTGCCGGTCAAATGTCCAGCGCCATATTTTCCTAACGGAAACACTGATATGGCTTGATGTCATATGCCAATGGAAGGGCAGGAAATTCACCTGTCTTCCTTATTTAAGAGATAAATGTAAACATGTTCAAGCCAGTTTAAACTAAAAGATGCCACAGACTGGGCATGTTATTGATTGTAGTAATATGTGCTGCGTGTGAGCGATAGTTTGACTAGTAGGCCTACGTCCCAGCTGTGCTGCAGACTCTGTGGGAGAATAGTACCTCTTACATCACTGCTATTAATCTGTCAAGTCAATCTGTGAACACACGGCACGCACCGTTGAACATGGATAAAAAATATGGGACAGGGGTCGCAGGGTTTTGAGAGAGGGTGTAGCGGAGGGGGTAGGACAGGGGAGGACAGGATAGAGGAGGGCGGGACTGTTAAACTAAATTCTAGCCTCTTCATGGAGCTTCCCTGCTGGCGTAATAAAGAGAATCGGCTGTCGGAAGGAAAAGGGGGGCGAGGAGGTGGTAGGGAGGCGGGGGTGAAAATTCATCCCAGGACATAATGGCTTTTGCAGGCTACAGTCTTGTGATTCCCACGCAAAGAAAAACGTAACGCACAGCACACGGCCTCCCTGGCCTCTCCCCGTGCCTCCTGGCCTCCTGGCCTGAAGTTTCACCATTCAATTTCAAACGCTCTCTCCAACCCGAGACACTAGTAGTCCACTCTTTTTGACCTCAGTGAACAACCCTCTTGGCCAGGTCACGTCCTAACCTCTCCCCTTTATGCATACCCCGTTACTTCATACTCCATAGCTTCTCTATTCTAGCTGCAGAGAAGCCTGCTGGTCCAGTGACTCACTCACACCACTGTTGATGGCCTCATCATATATTAACACCATCTCAATATGGCTTCTGCTGTCTTGACCACTGTGAAACCCTAATAACATCACTGAGCTGAGCTGTACTCAGCCATAGTTGTTGGTAATGTGCTAAGGAACAATGTGAAAACATAATTTCCATGCCAGTACAGATAGTTTATAAACCACCTTAGAGTAATGGCTCCTGGTCAAGAGGCAAATGAGGAGTGGTTCCAGGTAGGGGCTCGCTGCTGTGTTGTGTAGAGTGTGTCCTCAGCTCCCTGTGTCAGTGTTACTCTACTGTGGGTTCATCTGGGCTACCCTACCCGGGGTCTGGAGGTCAGGAGGACAGAGGGCTCAAAGGATTTATTAGCCAGGCCATTTCTCCACGCCTGATGATCAAAGACTAGTTTGCGCTACCTCTTCTTTCTCTTCATCACTCCTTTCTTTTCCTACCTTACCCTTTCCTAACCCTGTACCTTTCAACATCAAGGCCAGCTCTATCGGGTTCAGTTGCACACCCTTCACTGGCCCCAACATCTCTATGGAACATCTCTACGTTTATTGTCCTAATGGAGGAAATTCTTTGCACAGCTCAAAGTGATTTATTTATATATATAAATATAAATACATAAATAAATAAATATACACTACCAGTCAGGTTTGGACACACCTACTCATTCAAGGCTTTTTCTTTATTTTTACATTGTAGAAGACATCAAAACTATGGCGTAACACATATGGAATCATGTAGTAACCAAAAAAGTGTTAAACAAATACAAATATATATTTTATATTTAGGTTCTTCAAATAGCCACCCTTTGCCTTGATGACAGCTTTGCACACTCTTGGTATTCTCTCAACCAGCTTCATGAGGTAGTCACCCGGAATGCATTTCAATTAACAGGTGTGCCTTCTTAAAAGTTAATTTGTGGAATTTCTTTCCTTCTTTAATGCGTTTGAGCCAAGCAGTTGTGTTGTGACAAGGTAGGGGGGGTATACAGAAGATAGCCCTATTTGGTAAAAGACCAAGTCCATATTATGGCAGGAACTGCTCAAATAAGCAAAGAGAAACGACAGTCCATCATTACTTTAAGACATGAAGGACAGTCAATACGGAAAATGTCAAGAACTTTGAAAGTTTCTTCAAGTGCAGTCGAGCGCTATGATGAAACTGGCTCTCATGAGGACCACCACAGGAATGGAAGACCCAGAGTTACCTCTGCTGCAGAGGATAAGTTCATTAGAGTTACCAGCCTCAGAAATTGCAGCCCAAATAAATGCTTCACAGAGTTCAAGTCACGGACACATCTCAACATCAACTGTTCAGAGGGGACTGTGTGAATCAGGCCTTCATAGTCGAATTGCTGCAAGAAACCACTACTAAAGGACACCAATAATAAGAAGAGACCTGCTTAGGCCAAGAAACACGAGCAATGGACATTAGACAGGTGGAAATTTGTCCTTTGATCTAGAGTCCAAATTGGAGATTTTTGATTCCAACCGCCGTGTCTTTGTGAGACGAGGTGTGGGTGAACGGATGCTCTCCGCATGTGTAGTTTCCACCGTAAAGCATGGAGGAGGAGGTGTTATGGTGTGGGGGTGCTTTGCTGGTGACACTGTCTGTGATTTATTTAGAATTCAATGCACACTTAACCAGCATGGCTACCACAGCATTCTGCAGCGATATGCCATCCCATCTGGTTTGGGCTTAGTGGGACTATCATTTGTTTTTCAACAGGACAATGACCCAACACACCTCCAGGCTGTGTAAGGGCTATTTTACCAAGAAGGAGAGTGATGGAGTGCTGCATCAGATGACCTCCACAATCTCCCGACCTAAACCCAATTGAGATGGTTTGGGATGAGTCGAACGGCAGAGTGAAGTGAAGCAGCCAACAAGTGCTAAGCATATGTGGGAACTCCTTCAATACTGTTGGAAAAGCATTCCAGGTGAAGCTGGTTGATAGAATGCCAAGAGTGTGCAAAGCTGTCATCAAGGCGCAAAGGGTGGCTATTTGAAGAATCTCAAATATAAAATATATTTTGATTTCTTTAACACTTTTTTGGTTACTACATGATTCCATATCTGTTATTCCATAGTGTTGATGTCTTCACTATTATTCTACAATGTAGAAAATAGTAAAAATAAAGAAAAACCCTTCAATGAGTAGGTGTGTCCAAACTTTTGACTGGTACTGTGTGTGTGTGTGTGTGTGTGTGTATGTATATATATATATATATACACAGTGGGGGGAAAAAAGTATTTAGTCAGCCACCAATTGTGCAAGTTCTCCCACTTAAAAAGATGAGAGAGGCCTGTAATTTTCATCATAGGTACACGTCAACTATGACAGACAAAATGAGAAAAAAAATCCAGAAAATCACATTGTAGGATTTTTTATGAATTTATTTGCAAATTATGGTGGAAAATAAGTATTTGGTCAATAACAAAAGTTTCTCAATACTTTGTTATATACCCTTTGTTGGCAATGACACAGGTCAAACGTTTTCTGTAAGTCTTCACAAGGTTTTCACACACTGTTGCTGGTATTTTGGCCCATTCCCCCATGCAGATCTTCTCTAGAGCAGTGATGTTTTCGGGCTGTCGCTGGGCAACACAGACTTTCAACTCCCTCCAAAGATTTTCTATGGGGTTGAGATCTGGAGACTGGCTAGGCCACTCCAGGACCTTGAAATGCTTCTTACGAAGCCACTCTTTCGTTGCCCGGGCGGTGTGTTTGGGATCATTGTCATGCTGAAAGACCCAGCCACGTTTCATCTTCAATGCCCTTGCTGATGGAAGGAGGTTTTCACTCAAAATCTCACGATACATGGCCCCATTCATTCTTTCCTTTACACGGATCAGTCGTCCTGGTCCCTTTGCAGAAAAACAGCCCCAAAGCATGATGTTTCCACCCCCATGCTTCACAGTAGGTATGGTGTTCTTTGGATGCAACTCAGCATTCTTTGTCCTCCAAACACGACGAGTTGAGTTTGTACTAAAAAGTTCTATTTTGGTTTCATCTGACCATATGACATTCTCCCAATCCTCTTCTGGATCATCCAAATGCACTCTAGCAAACTTCAGACGGGCCTGGACATGTACTGGCTTAAGCAGGGGGACACTTCTGGCACTGCAGGATTTGAGTCCCTGGCGGCGTAGTGTGTTACTGATGGTAGGCTTTGTTACTTTGGTCCCAGCTCTCTGCAGGTCATTCACTAGGTTCCCCCGTGTGGTTCTGGGATTTTTGCTCACCGTTCTTGTGATCATTTTGACCCCACGGGGTGAGATCTTGCGTGGAGCCCCAGATCGAGGGAGATTATCAGTGGTCTTGTATGTCTTCCATTTCCTAATAATTGCTCCCACAGTTGATTTCTTAAAACCAAGCTGCTTACCTATTGCAGATTCAGTCTTCCCAGCCTGGTGCAGGTCTACAATTTTGTTTCTGGTGTCCTTTGACAGCTCTTTGGTCTTGGCCATAGTGGAGTTTGGAGTGTGACTGTTTGAGGTTGTGGACAGGTGTCTTTTATACTGATAACAAGTTCAAACAGGTGCCATTAATACAGGTAACGAGTGGAGGACAGAGGAGCCTCTTAAAGAAGAAGTTACAGGTCTGTGAGAGCCAGAAATCTTGCTTGTTTGTAGGTGACCAAATACTTATTTTCCACCATAATTTGCAAATAAATTCATAAAAAATCCTACAATGTGATTTTCTGGAAAAAACAAATCTCAATTTGTCTGTCATAGTTGACGTGTACCTATGATGAAAATTACAGGCCTCTCTCATCTTTTTAAGTGGGAGAACTTGCACAATTGGTGGCTGACTAAATACTTTTTTTCCCCACTGTAAATATATATATATATATATATATACACAGAATCAAAACAAGTCGCGTAGAATCACAACAAGAAATAAACAACTAAAAATAAACTCAGAAGTCAGAAATAACACACCTAAAAATAGGGTATTAACCACATGGAATTAATCCTTCACACCTGACACTGTGTTTCACTTGAAGAGGACAGTTAAGTACTAACGTGATTGCTATTTTGAAGTGTGGCCAGTTGTGATTTCACACAGTGGAACTCGAGACCGAGTTATGTCTTCCTAGCTACAGTGATGATGGAGCAATACATCTGAACTGGCCTGTTATGATGGAGCAATACATCTGAACTGGCCTGTTATGATGGAGCAATACATCTGAACTGGCCTGTTATGATGGAGCAATACATCTGAACTGGCCTGTTATGATGGAGCAATACATCTGAACTGGCCTGTTATGATGGAGCAATACATCTGAACTGGCCTGTTATGATGGAGCAATACATCTGAACTGGCCTGTTATGATGGAGCAATACATCTGAACTGGCCTGTTTTGATGGAGCAATACATCTGAACTGGCCTGTTATGATGGAGCAATACATCTGAACTGGCCTGTTATGATGGAGCAATACATCTGAACTGGCCTGTTATGATGGAGCAATACATCTGAACTGGCCTGTTTTGATGGAGCAATACATCTGAACTGGCCTGTTTTGATGGAGCAATACATCTGAACTGACCCGCTATGATGGAGCAATACATCTGAACTGGCCTGTTACAATGGAGCAATACATTTGAACTGGCCTGTTATGATGGAGCAGTACATCTGAACCAGGGTTTCCGTTAGGACCGGCAAGATTTAAATTTACTGAACATTTGAGAAATTTACCGGACATCCATACGCATTGGGTGCGTAATGCATTAGTGCGTCCACCCACGGGGCTTAACATCACATTTAGATTATTGTAATTCATCTTAACAGAATAGAAATGAGCCTGTAAAGTTGTAATAAAATAAAGTAGAACGATGTTCTTATACCAACATGACAGGTTTTATTGAAAAGATGCATCTTCATCCCTGCTATAAATCATAAATGAATATCAAGGACCGGGCCTGACTAACACAATAATTTGCCTCTAATTTACTTGCATTTGCGGGCCTGCTCAAAGTGAGCCGCTGCTGTTGGGAAGTCAAAACTGTCCAACTCCTTGAAGCAGCTTGATGCACATCAGCCTCACTACTTTGTCCTCAAGAAGGTACGATCTTGAGGCCGTCTTTACTCTGTTTTGGAGAAAGAATCCCCTCTCGGCGGGCACACTGGAAACGGGGATAATCAACACGATCGTCGCCAATTTTGCCCAGTCGTGGTACGCTTAGCTGAAGTCCTTTTATGAGGACCTGGCGTCTTTTTGCGTGAGTCAATGTAGACCCACACACCGACAGTAATGTCCCAGTAGCTTGAGGACGTCTCAGCCTATCATTCTAGATTTGCTGTTGAAGTTGGAGCACATCGGCTGGTATATCCATCAATGAATAAAAAGCATTTACAGGCTATCGGAAACCCTGATCTGAACTGGACTGTT